GGAGATGATGGGCGGCGCACCGCGGCGGACTGGAGGCTCCACTTTGTTGGAGGAAAAGAGGATATCCATCCCTCACTCCATGTCCCCATGAAAGGGGAATCGGGGGACTGGATACTTCTATTGGATCATTCCAAGGTTTGAATGGATCCATTGGAGAAGAGCCGACGACATCGAGAACTTTGAGAGGAGAACTGGATCCAATATTGATTGATTGTCTCCGTAGGCCCTTTACAAGTTTACGTACCCTGCGTGGCTTGCGTATCTCAGACACTGGGACAGGTGTGCAATGTCCAGTCATGTTACGCATCATTCCAGAATCAATCCACCGGGTTGTTCTTTCGTTGGGCAGATGCCGACTGTGTCTTGGTTTCTCGTAGGGGTTTTTTTTTGTTGTATTTTTACTTTGAATCTTCTCACTCAGATTGTCTGACAGGTTTTTTGTGTATGCATCCCTGGTAGGCATAACAAAGTCAACAAACAGATTAGATCTGCCGATGCTGCGTTCCCAGCATTGTCTTGCTTCGTCTCGCTTCATTCAAATGATGTCGTTTATCGTTTTGTTTCCCCTTTATGTTTTTGACCAGTCCTTGCTTATTTTGGTCTACCGGCCGCCCGCCCATCTCTTAGAGTCTATCCCACTTTCTTTGGACGTGCTTCGATATTTCATATAAGTGTGAAACCGCGCGGCCCCATAACTATCTCCCGCCCCAAGTTGCCCCAGTCTCCGCGACTGGACCCAATGTTTCTTGCGAGCGATAACTTTACTTTGCAAGTTTCCAAGCTACCTATACCTAGCCTTTCGTACGTGTAGATTGGAAGGCTACGCTACCAGATACTCCCAAACCTAGGTACCCGTTGCAAAAAACAACGTTGTACCTGCCGTTTCTAGCCTCGTCGAATGAACAATCTGAATTGGATTGGAATAGAGGCTATTTTGTTTCTCCTCGATTCCCTCCCACCCCCCTTCTCAATTTTACTCTCCGTCTCATCGTTAGGTAGGAGGTGCCTTAGTTTAGACACACATTCTCGGTATACACACTCGGTAGTCGGTACTCTGTTCGTTCTATCAGCCAACTTCGCCTCGGTCATTCTTCGTACATACTTTGTCACGAGCGGCTTACTTCCATCGTTTCATCCCTTCTTTCGCATGTAGCTCATTGGACCGTTCGGCGACCGTGCTCATCATTTCGAGTCTGCTCACCTACCACACTCACACACACCACGCACACACGTCCACCGAGTCGAGAGGAAATCCGATCATCAGAGATGGAGAGAAAGTCCGAGGTTTGGTTTGGTGCACAGCCAGCGGCGCTCCTGACTTGCTTGACATCTGCGCCTCGGCTGGGTCCTTTCCATATCCTTCGTCTGGTTCGAACCCACGAGCCTCTGAGTTTTTTTCTCTATCTCTCTCTCTTGCCCGCGGTGGTGCTCACTTGTGACTTGGTGCTCGCCTTTCAGCTGCCACGCTGCCTTCCCTTCCCATCCATCAAACCAAAAATTACAGTTTATTAGTCCCGTCATTCTTGCCTTTCCCGTGTCAGACAAGACAAGACAGGGACGAACAGACTGAAAGTGGGCAGGTGCCTTCCTTCTCATTCCCTCGTCCCTTCCTCGATGGTTCCAAGGGCCCTCTAAACTCAACATCAAGAAAGGAAAGAGTTCCTTCGGTGTCCCACCTTCCACTTTTTCTTCCATCTCTCTTGCCGTCCGAGGCAAAAACACCAAAAACACAAAAATACAAGATAAACGTAACCTTCCGTTACGGGCACCAAGAAACAAAAGACTGAATCGGAACAGAGATAACACGAGGCTTTGAATGCACCTTCTCTACCTATTTACGGATCCTTTTGCCTTCTGCACACTGCACTCTGCACCTGCCTGGTCTTTGCCCATGGTGCATCCCTTCCCAAACCCGTCATAGCTGCCACACTTGAACCTTTTCCTACTCTTGCACAACCCTGAAACAGGCCCCCATCTACCCACACCACTGACGCTCTCTCTCAACTCTGCTCGCCTCGAAAGTCACGCCTTTCTCAACTTCTGAGGTCACAGCCGCCTGGCATCAACCCCACATTGGCACATCCTACGGATACCAACCCGTCCTGCTCCTCTTATTGCCAGACCGGGAACCTCAAATCGTTTATGCGCTGAGCTGTCCAACGTGTCGTTCCCATCTCAGCCCAGCCGGACCCTCTTCTTTTCCGTTTTGGCCTGTTTACTCTCAGTCTCTCACGGTTACCAATCTCTTTCTTTCCCTCTGCTGTTCCTGTACCCATTCTCCACATTCCCTCTTCCCAAGGGCCCACGCCTTTGCTACGTCGCGGAGGTATCCCAGGTCTTGGATCCTCTTCCCCCCCAAAGAGTCCTGCTTAAGCCCAGGTCCCATCAACAAGGTCAAGGTCAAGGTCAAGGTCACGGGCTCGTTGACGAGACGAGACAAGACACACGCCCAGCCGCATCCAGCAGCACCCAGCAGCACCCAGCAACACCCACGCTTCCTAGCCAGCCTGAGCCAGCGGCGGTACCTCCTCCTCGGGAAACATCCTTTCTCACAGGCCCTGTCTGTTCTGTGTCTGCTCCCAATTACATTTACCTGCCCTTGCCGACCGTCACTCTCCTTTCGCCCCTCCCTTCTGCAGATCCAGATCGTCTGAATAACAAGGGCCTTCCGGATCAAAACCGCCTCGTTCCCTCGTCCCCCTTCCTCTCCTACCTGATTCCTTCTGGCCCTGTCCTGTTCAAGCCGTGCTTGCTTGATACTGTACGTCCTACCTACTTGCCGCCTGGCCACCAGAGCCTCCCTTATACCCACCCAACCAACACCAAAATTCACCCGCTCGCCGGTTCCATTGCAGGACAATGAACGGACACGCTGCTTCAAAAGTGTCCCTTTCACACGAAGAGGGTATGGGACTCCTAGACGAGAAGACGTTGTCCGACGTCGAGAGCGAGAGCGGTAGGGCCGACCTCGAAGTCCGTTTTGCGATACCACGATGGTCGACCGTCGCCCGGGGTGTAGTTGGCTACACGCGGGCCATACCATGGAGGGTTACCGTCATCCGCGGCCTCATCTTCCTACTACCTAGCTTCGTCCAGAGCCGATTCACGAGAGAACGAGGCCGAACCGACAAGCTGTTTCCGACATCCCATCTCGACGGCATGAGAGGCTTAGCAGCGCTTTTCGTCTTCTTCTGCCACTACTTCTACCAAGCCTTCATCATTGCCGAAGGCTGGGGCTCCTCAGAAAAGAACTACCACATTCTCAAGATGCCCTTCTTCCGACTCTTCTATCAAGGTCCGCCAGCGGTCTGCTTGTTCTTTGTAATTTCCGGCTACGCTCTTTCCATGAAGCCGATCAAGCTTGCTAGGGCCGGAAACATGGAGGAATTCTCCGTGACGACGACATCTTTGATTTTCCGTCGTTTCATCAGATTGTACATGCCGACTGCCATCTCGACCTTTTGCATCATGCTTCTGCTCCAGTTTGGAGTATACGAATGGACCAGAGACTTCGCCATTGATCGAGCTTTCCACAAGAACGTCATGGAGCCTCACCCAAAGCCGCTGGACACCTTTTCGGAGCAGTTTTACGACTGGGTCTGGAGCATGTTCAACTTTGTTCACGTCTTCGGCTGGGAGCGCTTTGGTGGAAGCACATGTAAGTTGGTTTTGGAGAATGTGTTTGTTGTGGTTTGCTAATAACATGGTTAGCGTATGATGTGCACCTGTGGACTATTCCGGTGGAATTCCGCTGTTCTATGTACCTGTTCATCACCCTGATCGGCTTGGCTCGTGTACGGTCCGGACTCCGATTTCTCTTCCTCTCGGGAATCATCGCCTTCACCTACCGAAACAACCGATGGGAGCTGTTGCTGTTCTACTTTGGCATGATGCTGGCGGAATACGATCAGATCATGGGCAACAACACGCCTGTGCCGCAGCCCTCGGTCCTCCCTTCAAATGGCGCCACCGCTCCCCAAGGGAGCCGACTTAAGGGCTTCTTCTGGGCAATGCTCAGCATTCTTGCCATCTACCTCATGTGCCAGCCGGACATCAACTACGAAATCACTCCTGGTTGGGTTTGGCTCTGCACTTTCATTCCCAAATGGTGGACGGAGGAAGGATATCGATTCTGGCAGTCTATCGGAGCTGTTATTTTCGTTCTTTGCGTCGGCCACTCTCCTAGATGGAAGAGCTTCTTCAACCTTGCTCCCATCCAGTATCTCGGCAAGATCAGCTACGCACTCTACCTCATGCACGGACCGGTCATGCACACCATTGGTTACATGATTGAGAGACGTGCGTACGCCATCACCGGCCTCGAGGGCTGGTGGTACAATGCCGGATTCGTTCTGGGATCTTTCGGCTGCATTCCTGCGGTTATTTGGGCCGCCGATGTTTTCTGGCGCTTGTTTGATATCCCGACGGTGCGATTTGCAAAGTGGTTTGAGACAAAGTGTCTTGTCAAACAGGAATAGAGCAGATTGGGGGCGAATGCTTGCGCGTCACGGCCGATATTGCGTCTCGAGAAAATGCTCACACACACAATGAGCTGGGTCTCGAAAGTCGTTATGGAAATCGACTAATAATAGCATGACACGGCGTTTTATATCACACGGCATTATTACTTTATACCTGGCGTCGGGGTTTTTTTTTATATTTATGGGGATGGGGGCTTTATCAAAGTTTTGGGGCAATTATAGATGGCATTGAGACAGATTGCACCTCTCAGGTCCAACATGATGGACTGAACAAAGTACAGAAAATGTACACGGTGGGAGACAGATGAAGACGTAGCGAATCAAGTAGAAACGGCCAAACACGCCAGAATACTCCATGGGTATCAATTTGATTCGACTTTCTTTTCCATGCCGTCATGTGTCTTACATTTCTTTTGATTTTAATTTCCGCGAGCTTGTTGTAGGTGCATGTGTCCATCGTCTCTCCGCAAGTAGATTCGAAAGGTTTCCAAACAATGCTTTACGGAGCACCTAACCTAGTTAACCAATCATGCTCCTCTTGCGGCCCCTCATCCTCACGTCCTCGAGCTTCTTGAGCGTCACGGGCGCCTGCTTGTACGAGCCGCGGTAGGCGTCGAGGACGTCCTGGAAATAGGCCTCTGCGCGCGGGTGGGTGCTGCCGAAGGCGCGCTCGAGGACGTAGAGGTCGACGGCGCGGTCCTCGTCCGAGGTGCTTTGGCTTGCGAGGCCAAAGTCGATGATGAAGACTTGGCCGTCGAGGGGGTTGTCGTCGTGATCGTTGGTATCTGACGATTTCGGTGGGCGGAGCATCATGTTTGATGTCGTCAGGTCGCCGTGGACGATGCCGATTTTGTGCATTTGGCCTATTGCTGTGCCCATTCTGCGCATGAGGTTTTTGATGCCCGTTGGGTCCTTTTTGGGTGGTGCTGTTGCTGCTGCTGTCGCTTCTGATCCCGTCATACCTCCTTCTGGTGTTTCTCCTTCTCCTTCTGGTATCGCTGCTGTGGTCCTCCTCTCCCCAAGCCACTCGTTAATCCTCACTCTCACGGGCGCACCGGGGATCCACTCGAGCATCAACCACCCCGCGACCTCGTCGAGGGCGTAGAGCGCGGGGACGGGACACCCTTCGCGGCGGCATTTTGCGAGGACGCGGGCTTCGGCGAGGATGCGGGAGCGGGTTAGGCGGGCGTCGAGGGTCGGGTGGCGGTAGGGTTTGGGCGGGCGGTATTTGAGGGCTGCTGGGCGGTCGGAGGAGAGGTGGGTTGTGTGGTAGAGGCGGGCTTCTGCGCCTTGGGTTATTAGGGTTGGCGGGGTTGAGGTTTGGTGGGTTAGGAGAGGGGGGAGGGGGAAGGCGCCCTCGGGTGGTATTGTTGTCATTTTGTGTGGTGAGTGTGGTGATGGGTTTGGTGAGAGGTGTCGGGATGACGGGTGGGGTTCCTGTTGTATTTTCGGGGTTTTTTTTTTGCTGTGTTCCTTTCTGTCCTCTTGTTTTTGCCCTCTTATTCTTGTACTGATTCGATGCAGAGTTTGTATGGAGTTGCGCTTGTGCGTGTCGCGGGTCGTGGGTGGAAGAGATGGCTGGAGGTGGTATTTTGTCGTTTGGGAATATCTTCAAAAATGAGAAAGCTCGCTCGGAGGGGGAGGAGATGGGTGGAGGGGTAATGGTAGATTCGTTTGGTGGGGTTCGGTTCTCTGTGGCTTGACCGCCTGTGGCCCCGAGATTCTGCCGCTTCTGCACTGTGGGGGGTTTCGGGCGCTAGCGTTAGCGGGCGTGTGTCGTCGAGGCCCGCCGCGCCCGGCGAGCTTCTTTCCTGCGCTTGGGGCCGTCCATCCGTCGTCGTCGGGACGGGAAGAGGGGTGTTTGAGGACGGACGGGCCGGCCCTGAGATGCTCTGCTTTAGATTTCCAGTTCAAGCTTGCAAGAGTAGAGTTCCTTGCTGTTGAGTTGCGAACTTCTTTCTCTCTCTCTCTCTCTCTCTCTCTCTCTCTCTCTCTCTCTCTCATATTCTCGGACTAGCTGCTTTGGAAACCTGGTCGCATCCGTATAGGTTCATCTCAATTCTTTGCACGGTACCGCCCTGAATTCTCCTTCTCGTCTACATTCATGACCATTGGACAATCCCTCTGTCGGTTTCCTCATAACCACGTTCTCATATGTGTTTCGACTGACCTACGGACATAGGCGCGAGTCCGAAAACTACGCCAGCGGATCGGGTTCACAAGTGTGACAATCCTCAAGTCCCGTGTTCTAGGTATTCCGACCTTGCGCGACCAAGGTGCCGGGATATCGCGCTGCAAAGGATGCTTACCTACACAGCCCAAGTCCCATCTTTGTGTAATCTCGGATGAACGAGCCACCATGTTCAGTATGTTCTGCGTCGCCACGAGGGAGAGGGTGGGTGGTGGTCTCCCGATATGCAGCCCAGCGGCACAGCAAGGGAAACGAACCAACGAAGATGAGATTAACCAGAGCAGGCGACCAATCATTTCCATGACGGAGCACAAGGAATCCTTTCGGCGCGCGACCGAGAGGGGCAAGTGAGTAGATTCGGCGCTCCGCTTTTGCATTTTCGAATCGAGCTCTGAACAAGGTACTCGTGAGCAAACCGAGTGGTTTCGTTTCGCGCCTTTGGCCAAAAAGGAGCTGGACGGTCTATTTGAACAGTCCGCCTCTTCATTGCTTTCGATCCTGAACTCAGGTTGCGCAAGTGTAAGACGGAAGAGATAGAGAGCACAAGAGACCCGAGGAACTTTGGGCAACCCGCCCGAGGAAATGGGGTTTCTGCTTACATGCTCCTCTGTTTCCCGTGATGGATGTATGCTACTTTACCCTGCATCTAGGCGCATGCTGCAGCATGAGCAGGAGCAGCAGCCTTTTCTGTGCGCTGCCATCTTACCTACATTAATCACTGTCATCTTTGCCCCTCCACTCTTCAAGTTGCTTGCTTACCATTGTTTCCGTGCCCCTTGCTTTTCTCTTGGTCTTTTCCCTTTCGGCCGCGGTTTGCCTCGCTGTTGTTACACACACAAACCCCCCATCCTCCGAGGCTTCCACCACCATCACCAACACCACCACCGTCGGGCAGGCTGGCAGGAAAATCTCTCATCCTCTCCTCCACAAAGCCTCGTGGATTGAAAGCAATGTGTTCTTGATTGAATTTGACATACAATCGGCGTTGCTTGACCTTGTCCCGATCAAGACTTGCTGTTCTTGGGGACGGGGATAGCAGCAGACAGTATGAAGCTCCTCGCGATCGCCGCGATGGCTGCTGCCGCCACGGCCACCGGCACCAATGCCGCTTTCAGACAGAGATACGCCGCGGTTGACATGTCGCCAGCCGTCGAGGGCGCCGGTATCGTTCCGCGCTTCTTCATCGACGCACCGAGGCTCGCTGTCCGCGATGGTGGGATATGTAACCCGAACTATCATTCCTGTAAGTACGGCGCTCTTCAAGCGTTCTCATTATCCTCGCTCGACTTCCGTTCTTGACCTCGGATTCCCTTATATTACCGTCGAAGAGTATCTGCATACTAGAAGATGAGGAATCAGGAGTGATATCACTCATCACCGAGGCATCAGTCTAAACATCCAAACAGGCGTCGACGTAGGCCACCCGGAAACCTGCTGCGCAAACACAAACTACTGCTACGTCAAACCCGACAATTCACCATGGTGCTGCCCCCTCGGCTCCCTCTGCGACTCAAACTGCCCCGCGACAGCCTACCAATGCCCAACGACGATAACCGTAACCGCCACCGTCTCGCGGCCATCAACCGCCAACACGGCATCCGGCTCCGCCGTCCTCACAACCTCCCTCTCAACATCCTCAGCCTGCTGCGGCCGCACCTGCCCCTCCCCCTCCGCCTTCCGCTGCGAATCCCAATTCGGCGGCGGCTGCTGCTCCTACGGCCAAACATGCGTCTCCGGAGGGCGCTGCATAAGCACGCTCTCCGCCACGCCCACATCTTCTGCCACGGGGGGGCTGAAGCCCGCTGATCCGGCCTGTACGGCCACCACGCAGCACGCGTGCGACGATGGGGCGGCGGGGTGCTGCGATAACCTCATGCACTGCACCGTCGTCAGCGGGACGGCGGGGTGCGCGGCGGGGAATCCCACGGCGACGGGGGACGTGGGGTATACCACCGTTCCCGAAGGCGGCACAGGAGGGGGGTTGTCTACTGGGGCAAAGGCTGGGATCGGGGTTGGTGTTGCTGTTGTCGGGTGTGCTCTCGCCGGCGCGCTTGCTTGGTTTTGTTTTGTGAGGAGACGGCGTAGGGGGACTGTGACGGGAACAGCGACGATGTCTGAGCGTAGCGGCGGCGGGCGGAGCAGAGGAACGGGAGCAGGAAGAGGAGGAGCAGGGGTTTCTGGCGTCGGGAGCGAGAGGCCAAGTCGCGGGGTACGCGCTTTATCGGACGTCACGTCCGGGTCTCGACCGAACGGGCCCAGTCGCGGCGCGACGCAGGATTACTTTGGTCCGGATGCCGTTGCGGGGCCGTATACCGAGACAGGAGAAGTCGATATGACCGCGGCTGATGGTTCGGGAATCGGGACCGGAGCCGGAGTCGGGGCGGGGAGGGTGGGCACACCCGGTCGAGGACGGGGCGTGCCGCTTCAAGCGCATTCGCCCAACGACGTTGTCGCCCCTGTGGAGATTGGGGACTCTGGTGGGAAGAGGGGCTACGGGTACGGCTACGTTCACGGATACGGCCACAGCGTGACTTCCGTGCCGGAGGAAGGACGCGAGGGGGGTCCGCAGGAGATGCAGACGCCGGGGTCCGAAGAGGAGACGACGCAGGGGCGGTACGAGTTGTACGGGTCCGAGATGGCTTCGCCCGTGTCCGTCGGGGCGCCGCCCTCGTCGATTGTGCCGACGCCGTCGATGATGACGCCGCGGAGTATCGCGAGCGTGAGCATGTTTGATCGGTCACCGGGTCCCGCTCCCTCCGAGAGGGAGAGGGAGAGATAGGAAGGGACTTGGGATGAGCAGACAGAAACAGAGCAAGGCGTGTTGTTCAACGTGAGGTATTCTCCAAAATCCAGTCTCGAGTCTTTCTGAGACGACCCCCATGAATTGCAGTATAAACGATAATCGACGATAATGATACACAGCTTGATAAACGATTAAAAGGACATGCGCGCGTTTCCTTCTCTTCTTCCTGATGCTTCTACGATACTCAAGGGACGCAACTTGACAATACGTATTATGCGATTCTGATAGAGGGAAACTTTTGGAATGAGCAACTCCCCTTTCCTTGGCCACCAAAAAAGAAATGGAAGAAAAAACTCCTCGCCCACATTTCCCTGAATAACGACGCCCAAAATGTGGGAAACCTCTGTAATCGTACCCTCCACGAGAACGCCAAACAAGATGAACCATGCAATCGACAGAGACAACAGAGCTCGCCAACAAGAGTACAACTCCCTGAGATGATGAGAAACCCGAAAACACCAAATGCCGGCCCGAGATAGCAGTTTTGCTTGTCGAGACCAAGCTAGCAGACGACACCACCAAAGGGCGTGCACGTCCGTAGGTCCCTGACGAGATCCTCGACATTGCTCAGGTGACGGCCCAGCAGCTCCTGCTTCTCCTCGGTCGTCATGGTGTCGGCGGATTCGCTACCGGCGCGGCTCCGGCCGTGGCCTGAGTCGGTGGAGGCGGGCGTGGAGGCCGCGCTACCAAAGGCGCCGGCGAGCTTGCTTGGGCTGCGCTGGTGGATGGCTGGGACGGAAGCGCGGACGTCGGCGCGGGGGATGGAGGGAACCTCGGGCATGAGGTAAAAGTAGAGGAACTCGACGAGCTTGAGCTTCACCTCGCGGGCGGTGGAGCGGGATTTGAAGAGGGAGGTGACGGTGAGGAGGCCATCGAGGGCCTCAAACGTTCGGGTGTTTGTCGGGGTGTCGATGAGGGCGGTGACGAGGGTCAGGAGGGTGGCGGACTGGATCGCGGGACAGTTTACGGGTTCGAGGAGGTCGAGGAGGAGCTGTTGCGAGATTGGACTTAGTGCTCTACTTTGGACACTGACGGTGGGGGAGTCGGTGAAGACCTACATTCATGTTCTGCTCTCGTGAGAAGAGGGCTTTGCTGGGCGGGTGCAGCAATAAGACGCCCTGGATGAGATCCAGCGAGCTGAGGATGAGGAGGTCGTTCTGCCCGTCGGTGCCCTTGCCCATCAGGCGGTCGAGAGTGTTGATGAGGCGCAGGGCAACATTCCACTCGAATCCTTCTTGCAGCTTAAAGAACTCGCGGAAGGCCGGGTCATCTGACAAGTCTGCTAGAGACTTTCCGCTGTTATGGGACGCATCATCGTCCGTTGTGGGTGATCTCGATTTGGCCGGGGCTGAGAGGCAGATTTGGGCGAGGAGACCTTCGACTTGGCGCAGACCCTTGCGGATCTTTGGACCGTCGTAGGAGGAGAGGCCGTCGAAGGCGAGACTGAGGAGATTCTCCATTACGCCTGATGTCACGAATGAGCTCTTGTGGTAGGCGGTGGTTTGGTGGCTTGGATGCAGAATGTGGGTATCGAGGACTGTAGGTGTAATCTGGCAAAGACAAAAGAGACAATGCGATGCGATTCTCGGTGATGCGACTTGCGGATGACTTGAGGGTTATGAAGTACTGTTGCGTCGGATCAAAGGATAGAGACAGAAGTCGAGTCTGGAAAGTAGCAGCAGCAGCAAGCACCGTGGGATATTGTTAATACAGAAAAAGAGAAGAAGAAAGGCTGGCGAGGACAAGTCCTCTAGGGATCTGGAGAAGGGCGGCGTATGTCAATTGCGCAACAGTCGTATCGAGGGAGGTGGGAAAGGCGAAGAATAAAAAAGTTCAAGGTCGAGGGCGAGGGCGCATGCGTAGGTGGTCATTCATGAGAGCGACTACCCGGTAGCGTCCAGATACAACAGACGGTGGAAAGCGACGATGTTGGTGGACAATGCGGGTTGTTTGTGTTGCGTTGGACGATTACTGCCCCGGCAACCGGGTCGATCCAGCACGTTGGGATGGGGATGTAGTGCTGCCGAAAGAGGAAGTTCGGTGTCTGATTGGCCAGATTGGTGACCGATTCTTAGCTAAGCGGGTCAGTCAGGGGAGCCATCAGGGACATCAGGGAGCCATCGGGCTGCGTTTGGCGCATTTTGGCTCTTTGGGTGGCATTGTGGGGGGCACGGGCCGGCAAACTAAGCATCTTGGGCTTTCCCTTCTTGCATGAGCTCCCTTTCTTTCCTGATCCTCCATGCATGGGGGAACTCGGAGAGCGAGCAGGGTTCAAGGCTGTGGAAGTTCAGAGATACACAGTAGTATGGAAATAAGCGAGGCTTTGACACTGACCCTGATCTGTGGCCCTGAAGTGCGGTGTGCCGCGTGCCTTGGCTGCTGCAGAGAGGCGGCGTCGAATGACACAAGGTAAACCTCTCTGCTGGCCCTGTCACAGCAGCTGCGGGTGCTTAAGACCGGCACTTAACGCTGATGAAACCTGCAGACTCGAGGGGATGGCACATCTTAGTGTCTAGAGTTGCTCCGACTCGGAGTGAGCTGCCTTGCTCTCTGCTCTCTCTACTGCTGTTCCCCCTCCTTACCCGGTCTATCACACGGCGGCGACGAGGCCTCTCGAGTCACAGTAGCTAGTCTGGCAGGATGAAGCAGCATATGGTCAAGGGGTGACAGAGTGACGGGCGACAAGCACGCAGATCAGGAGGATTTGGGTGACATCCGAGAACTTAGTGTCTACTCAGTACTTACTACCTTACTTCGTAACGTGTTAGTGGCTGGCTCTCGTCCTCTTCTAGAAGCCCGTTTCCCCAATACTCCTGAAGATAGTTCCACGTTGGCTCGAGGTGGGTGGTGTCCGTGTCTCCTCCGTGCTCCGGCCGATTCTTAAGACGGAGACTTCGCACGAACCTCTCTCTCTCTTTTCGAGCACCCACCCGGTATGCTCTTCTTCTTCTCCTTCTCCGCTCCATTTTCATCCGTTCGACATCAACCAAGCGAGAGAGAAACGACTAGACGAGTCATCACTACACCGAGATATCCGGTCCCTTGTCTTCATTCTGCTGTATCTCCCAACGCTTATTCTCCGGCCACCCACCCGGATCAAAGTCCGCGGTCGCCCTTCTGGAGCTCGGCATCGACGGAACCCCGACCCCCAAGGAAAAGCCACGAATTTGGATGACGTCTTCCTGCCTTCGGTCTCAACATAAGCCCGAATACCTTACCTATTCGTACATTAGGTAAGGTAAGGTAGCTTACGGTACCTGCCTTATCTCTCCACCATCAATCGATAAGAGCTCCAACAGACGGAGCTCTGCCCTGGGCAATTGAGGCGCCATCAGCACCTGCAACAGCTCCCATCGCTGCTCCTGTTGCTGGTCCTGCTGCATGTTCAAGGTGCGCAAACTGCTTTCCATTGGCATGTGATTGTCCGTCTCCAACTTCTCTTTGCCTTGTTGCTTTCTTCCATACTTTCTTCTCCTTGATTATCTACTGCAGGTCTGTCTAGGACTTTTCAGGTACCCGCCACAACCGTCCATCTAGGCTCCCACCAAAGACTTTCCAAGCAAGGTTCAGTGACCCAGCTTGGCCTTTCTTCCTCTTTGCTATTCCGGTTCACGCACCATCCTTGCCCACGCCTCATTTCCTTGCAGCAACGGGTGGAGAAAGGTCCTATTCACAGAAAAGTCATGACGGTCTACATCTCGTTTTGTTCCCCGCCAAAAAGACAGCACATGCACATAGTCTACGGACCAATACAGACACAGGCAGAAAAGCACTCGCATATGCAGCAATCAACTGCCTGCCGCAATGCCGTTCCTACCCAATCCACTACCACACCATTTCACAACCTACCTCACGGAGTTATGCCTCACTCCCAGGCAGAATCTCACCTTGGCTGAGCAAGTGGTGACGTTTACACGGGCTTACAGCAACGGCACCAGCTGACCGATTCTACCACAACTCACCAGCCTGAGCTCCACAACGCCGCATCCCCGGCCCACGCGAGCTCTGTTGAGCTTGAGCCAACACCTGGAGCTCCCACAGCTGTAGCTTCTGCAGCAGCAGCTGCTGCTGGTGAGACCTTAACCGGGTCCTCCCTACCAAACGTCCATAAGAAGCCACGCTTCTTCCCCTGGCGGCCGGTCCCTTGGAGAAGACTCCCTTTCGCGATGGTGCCTAATAACCCTGCGGCGTCCTCGTCGTCCTTTCCTCCTTCAAACAAAGCAGTCGACAGATCTTCAAACCCTCCGGGTACAAATACCGCCAACAACCCCTCTTCCTCGTTCCCCCATTCTCCGCCAAACGTCATCCCCTCGCGCAAGTCCTCCATCGGCCACCACTCCGCCGCCGCTCCCGTCTCGCTCTCCGCCCACGCGGCCGCGCCCATGCCCGCGACCTCCAAAGGGCCTCTCCGTACCGTTCCCGAGACCGACTGGCTCTCCCGCGCCAACTACCACGCCAACACCAACAACGGTCACGGTCAAACCCACGCCCACAAGCACTCGCTCTCACACTCCTCTCACCGGTCCCGTCGCCCTTCCCTGGGGACCAACCAAGCCACCTCCTTCACCCTCACGATGCAGCCTCCCCCGCCTCCGGACCCCTCGCGCTACGCGACCTCTGACCTCAACTTCACCCGCAAGACCTGGCCCGAGGAGAAGGACAAGGTCATCACCGGCCCCTTTGACTACCTCTTTGCCCACCCGGGCAAGGACTTCCGCGCCCAGCTCATCCAGGCATTCAACGTCTGGCTCGAGGTGCCCCAGGCCAGCATCGATGTCATTACAAACGTCGTCGGTATGCTGCACACGGCTTCCCTCCTCATCGACGACGTGGAAGACTCATCCTCCCTCCGCCGCGGCCTCCCCGTCGCCCACAACATCTTTGGCGTAGCCCAGACCATCAACTCGGCAAACTACATTTACTTTTGCGCCCTCCAGGAGCTCCAGCGCCTCAAGAACCCAAAGACAATCTCCATCTTTGCCGAAGAGCTCGTCCACCTCCACCGCGGCCAGGGCATGGACCTCTTCTGGCGCGACACCCTCACCTGCCCGACGGAGGAGGACTACCTCGAAATGGTCGGCAACAAGACGGGCGGCCTCTTCCGCCTGGGCATCAAGCTCATGCAGGCCGAGTCCCGCAGCCTCACAGACTGCTCCGAGCTCGTGAACCTCATGGGCCTCATCTTCCAGATCCGCGACGACTACATGAACCTCTCGTCCAAGGAGTACTCGGACAATAAAGGAATGTGCGAGGACCTGACCGAGGGCAAGTTCAGTTTCCCCATCATCCACAGCATCCGCTCCGACCCGTCCAACCTGCAGCTCATCAACATCCTCGGGCAAAAGACGAATGACGTCGAGGTCAAGCGCTTCGCCGTCGCGCGCATGGAGAGCACGGGAAGCTTCGAGTATACCAAGCAGGTCGTCGGCGTGCTCATTGACCGCGCGCGCAAGATTGCGGATGATATCGACGAGGGCCGCGGGCTGACCAAGGGTGTGCACAAGATTCTCGACAAGATGGTGCTCGCTGATAAGAATACGACTTCATGATTTGATGACGGATGACCTTTGGTTCTTTTTTCTCTTTTTTTCTGGAGGCGGGAGACTGCTTTCCCAAAAAGAAGAAACAATGAGATGGATGGGGAATTTCATCTCAGGGACACTTGGATGGATGGGACGAGGTCAGGCAGTTCGATGGGTGGAAATTAATAATTCGAAAGATGGAACGACGGGGACGATTCTTCTAGCTAAGGTTTCCTTTGGTGTTGGTTGGGGTTTTTACCGGCTGGCTTGCCGGATAGGGCTGCATTTAGACTTGGTCTGAGAGACGGCAGATAGGAGACAATTCGACATAGGAGAGAATATCCATTCCCTATTCACGCCCATGAGAGTGTTCGTTGAGGTAGCAACCTGGGATGGCAAGAGACACTCGTAGATAACTGCACCACGATAATGACTTTGCAACTCTAAGAAAGAATGTATTGATAGCTGCCATGATGGGTGATTCAACAATCCAAATCCATTCGAGCTTTGACTGAGATGTGTCGAAGCGACAGCCTGATGATGAAGGAGGACCTCATGTCCACAGTGAGGTTGAAGGGCCACGCTGGAAATGACTCCCATTAGATTTCATGTCATTATCATTACCATACTCTACAAATCCATTCATCTGACCCCCTCAAGCAGTACTCATCGTAGCCCGCCTCTTGACAAGCCTGACCCACCTCCGCCGCCTCCACTCCCCCCTCCGTCCCGTCCCGTCCTCCCCTTCCTCCCATCCCGACAGCGGCGCACTAGGAACCCTCGCCTTCCCCTTGCCCATCGTCGGCGACGAGTCCACTGGGCCCCCGAAGCCGCCACCACCAGCACTATTCTCATCAAACATGTCATAAACCCACCTCTCCCCCTCCGTCTCGACCTCGACGCCCGTGATAATGCGCTCCTCCACCCACTCCCTGCTCCACAGGTCCAGCGCCCACTTCTTCTCGGACCAAACCCACCCGTCGGGCGGCAACACGTCCTCGAAGAAGCGCGTGCCGCGGGGCCGGTCGCCGGCGATGCGGGGCTGGGAGAGCGGGTCGTAGGGGGAGGGGGAGAAGAGCCAGGGCTCCCACTCGTCGTGGGACGCGCGCTGGAGCTCGAAAATCTCGACCTCGCGCGTCTCGGGCGCCGAGTCGAGGATGATGTCGCCCGCGATCCAGGCGTCGACGCTGGAGCGGGCCTGGGCCTCGTGGGGCGCGACGTGGGTGTCGTGGGTGTGCGTCAGCAGAGGGGCGATGGCCGGGTGGCCCGAGAGGATGGCGGCCCAGCCTGCGAGGAGGGCGATGAGGCGCCAGGGGAGGAGGGAGGCGAAGGTGGTCATGAGGACCGTTGTGAGGGTGAGGGCGAGGAAGAGGGCCGAGGAGAGGGCCTCGTTGGAGAAGTTTGTGATGGGGAGGACGGTGGCGACCACGCCGTCGTGGGCGACGCAGAAGTCGTCCATTGAGTTTTGAAGGTCGCGCATGTTGCGGAAGAAGTCCTTGCTGAGCTCCTTGACGGGCTTCACCGTCCGGGCCGGGGCGAGGGGCGGGCCCTTGGGGGAGTAGCCGACGGATTGCTCCGAGGATAGGGTGCCGGAGGGCGGGGCCGGGTGGCGGGCGAGGAAGGAAGGGATGAAGACGGCGAGGAGGAAGCCGGCGAGGGGCACCACGGTTAAGAGGTACGGGTCTAGGCAGACAAAGGTGTAGACGGCGAGGAGGGATAGGGTATGTGTTGGGCGGCGCCAGCTGAGGAGGCGGACGACGCGGGCCTGGAACTTGAAGACGACGCCGATGCGGGCGTTGAAGCGGCGGAAATTGTTGGACATTGTGGTGATGTTGAAGTTGGGCCGCTCGGAAAAGGTGCTCGTCTTGTCCGGCGAGAAGCCCGGGGCGAGGGGGTCGTCGCCGCCACTTGTGAGGCCATCGGAGCTCTCGGGGATGACCTGCTGGAGGAGCCTGGGTGAAGCGGTTCAGTTAGCATCGAGCTTTGCTTGACAGAGATAGTGTTGTGACTTTGGGAAAGTAGGCTTTACCTCTCGACTAGACGATCTTGGATGCTTGTCTTCTTGCTGAGGTTGTTGGCGATGCGCGAGCGCAGGCCCGAGGGCGATTTCTTGGACGGGGTGCCCTCGCTGACGTCGGAATCGTGAGGCCACTCGTCGACCACTACAGTCGGAGGCGGCCGCGCATGGGGCTGATGATCCGGGGCATCGTCGCGGGATATGAAGAGGTCGGCCGTATACTCGTCCATGGTCCGTACCTTCTGCGCCGGGTGTATGGTGGTAGTTGTGGCAGAGGGTGCGCCGGCAGCTGTTTCGTTTGATGGTGGGTTGGTGGTCGTTGGCGGGAGGTCACGTCATCGTTTGGCGGACAGCCGCCTGGCAGTGTAGTTGCGCGTGTGGTTCGCTGCAAAAGCAAGGGGATGATGAGACGTGTGGCAACGCGATCTGTGTCTCTCTTCCGTGCAGATAGCTCAGATTCGCTTGAGCTGAGTTTGTCCAAAATCTCCGGAAGCTGTGTAGCTGTATGAGACGTTGAGGTTACCAAGTGGATTGGTGCATGGGGAATGTCATTGGAGCTGCCCGGCTGGACCGGCGGAAGCTCGCCCAAAGCTGCAAGCCTCCACTGCATGTGATTTGGGCCGCAGCATGGGGAACTGGGTCCGATGCCAGCAGACCGCAGAGCCCGTGGTAGCCGAGTTGCAGTGGTTGGATATCACATGCCCCCCAGTAAGCTTCTGCCACACGGCAAATGTCATCCATGGCCACCATCCCTTCCCTACAACTACCCCTTCTCAGAAACCACATTGAAAGTGGTCTCATCTTGCAGGGACGGAAAATCCACTGGATCTTGTCCACATTGTCTCCGATCCAGCTACCATGAGCTAGGCTATTCTCTATTCTGCGTCTCTCACCGTATGGTCGACGGATTCCCGCATCCGTTCCTCCAAACCCGGCTGGCTGATTGTCCACGGCAAGGGGAGAGCCAAGAATTATGAAAACCGACACTTGAGCTGTGGCTGACCAACAAGAAGTCAGAATGTCCACGAGATCTGGATAGGTAGATGGCGAGGAAGTTGTCTTGGGCAGGTGGAATTTTAAATCGGCCCATTCATAGAGCGACATTGTCTCTGTGCCGTCTGCCTACACGACAGAAAGAATAGCCACAGAGTAGGTATCCGTACCTAGGCACACGATGGCGATGGATGAGTCTAACTTCCAGCTCTTCTGGCCGGCTGTTTCAGCTCTGGAAGCCAGGAAGTAACTCTCCCATCGGGAGAGGTTGCCAGTAGTGCAAGCCTCCTCGTGCGAAACTTTGGCTGTTCTCAATGTCAACTGATCTAACATTTAGTCAACTCAATAAGATCCCCCAACGTTGGATGAATTTTCTGTATCAGTAACTTCAAATGGACTGAAGGTGGTGAAATACCGACGAGAAATGAACCCCCGTGAAACGGGAAGATGGGAGATTACACCAATACTTTGGCCGTCTGCGTTGGTCAGTAATCTCGAATCGTCAGCCCACGCGTGTATTGTCAGCTGTAACAAAGGAGAGGAAGAAAAGTTGAGTGGTGGACGCCGCTCGAAAGCCCGAAGAACGGAAAACGGGACGGACGGAATTGGGCAGGGAAGGCATTTGGCCAGAGTGCACACCGGAGAGAAAAAGGAGGCATCCCTTGATCAGCTCGGACCCTGTCTTGTTTCTGCCATCGCATGCCAGTCCAAGTTATTCAGGGCAAGGTTGACCTGTCCTGTGGCAAGCTCAAGCTCTAAGACTATCGGCGGCGCGGTGACAAGCGTACCGTACTCTGCTCGTCTGCCCGTAATAACCGTACTTCTGTACACGCTATCTTCGTACACGAGGGACGGGATGATCGATCCTTAACTGTTGGGCGTTAGGCGCAGAAGCTGGGGACTCGACGCAGCCCGGGCTCGGGGCTGAGATGGAGTCAGAGGGTTAGTGTTTCCTCTGATTTAGAGGCAGCGCCTAGAGTAGATCAATGATCGGGGAGCGAGTCGTGATAAGAGCTGGAGAGCTTGTCAAGACTCAGGACTCAGGAGTTTCTTCCCGATAGCTTCGACTGCAATCTTCAAAAGCCACCTTCAGGCCTCGACATTGGCCTAGCTGGGTGCTTCGAGGCTTGATAATGCTCCGTTGACGGCTGGCCAAGTCGATCGAACCTTATTCCATAGCTCAGGTGAAGCGATTTACTCATGAGTTGCGTTTGGATCGCCGATTGGTTCTGCCCGCTCTAGTCACCAAATCCCCCAAAGTCCACATTGAGACGACCTGTTGCTGATGGGATCTCCAAAGACGGATTATTTTGTGACTGCCAGTGCCAGTAGACCTCAGATTTGATGGCTCGCATCACAGAAGGAGGGAGTTCGAAACAAAGATCTGCTGAGCCCCGGTTCTGTGAGGCGATGAGGCAGGCGGTGTAGTTCAGGACTATAGCAGCACCTTATTAAGAAAACAAACGCAGAGGCCCGGAAATCGTGTTCGGTGATTGGTCGTTGGCCTGGGCAAAACAATATCCCACGAAATGATGGTCTGCATCAGGAACCAAGGCGATGCGGTTTTGTGTTGATGTATCCTGTCCCTTCATACAAGTGTCCGGAAATTCCTCTGATTGACCAATAGTCGGCCGCAACCAAGCCTGTTCTGACTGCTTTGATCTACAAGCGAAAAGAGTTTATGAAGAGCCTGTCAGACATTTGCTCAGTAGTCACCGGCTGAAGTTGCATGGCGCAATTTTGAACTTTGCGTGCAATGTCCACAAACGCACGGCGAATGTATCAGTTGTCAGTGTCTTCCTCTATTGGGCGGCTAGGTCGACTAATTGTTGCAGATGACAAGTGACAGGTATTCGTACCGTTGGTTGCAAAAGCAATTCGTCAATCCATCCCGTAAGACAAGCCACTGCTCGGGGCCGAACAAAGAGCCAACCAATCCTTGGAAGCTGGGGTTTGCCATTGTCAACCAGTGACAGTGACCCGCCCAATACTATGAGTCCACGTTGGCTATCATAGAATACACGGATAGGACAGGTGTCTTGAATGGAAGGCGTTTCAATCTTGCGAGAAGCCCTGCTGACTCCGTCGACGTTAGCATTGGACTCGTCGATGGTTGTCCTAGGAGACGAGGGATGAGGTTCCTGCGATCCTCGGCACAGGACCACAACGGACAAATTACCTCACGAGCGTCTGGTCGGGAAACGGCTTGGTTGGCTGTGGTTGAATACCGGCCGGCGTTCCTCCAAGGACGGGCAGCGGAGAGGAGGATTGCAGGTTGCAGATTGCATATGGCGGGACCCCCATGCATTCGGAACCCTGGCTAGCAGACCGTTTTGCCACAGAACCCCCAATTTCCACTGGACAGATGGGCATCTTGCTTCTGGGCGTTGAGACACTTGACCCTCACCCATCACCCCCATGCCACTTTTTCCCCCCAGGGTCTTCCTCTTGGTTGATGCGGCGACGAGGACAACAAACGGCCCGCGGTGACGCAGGGACGCATTCTTGGAGCTCCGAACTGCTGCTGGACCGTGATGGCGGGCGCGGCAGTGTCCCAATTGGCCCCAAACGGAAACCAAAGACGCGTCGAATAGCAGTGAGCTTGGCAAACGGGGGAAGCTCTTTTTCGACGGTTGGTTGCCCCTCAATTTGGGACGAGTCGCGGCAAAGTTTGGAACGAATCACGGAGTGCAGGGAGCGACGAGAAGATGGGATGCAACAACACGAATGTCGCTGACTGAGGGACGCCCGCGAAGCACACGCGCGTGCGACGGCTGCAACAACCCGAAACTTGATCTGGGTCCCTGGGACCGACCTGGGCGAGTCGTGCTTGTTCGGTTGTACGGAAAGGGTATGAATGAAGTTGATGTCAACGTAGCCGTGCCAGCCAAGCTATCCATACATGTGAGGCGTCGACATGAGATGCTAGATGATGCTGGCGGCCGACGCCTTGTACGTATTAGAGAGGTAGAGTAGACCGGTATATTCTGTCTTTAGTCTAGATGCAAAGTAAGCACGGATAGTAGGTATCTGTATCAGTATCTGGATATTTGGCTGTTCGTAATGGTGGACAGCAGAATCTTGGGTAAATGAGAGAACCCGCTGCCGCAGATCGCGCTTCAACGGCCAGGGTCCGAGTTTCTCTGGAACCTTCGTAGAGATAGCGGGAAGAGATGTGTATCGGTACGGAATAGTCAGACTTAGGGCAAGCCACAGACTTGGATCGGTCGGTTGGTGGACGGAAATGTTGCCGAGTTGCTAAATTACTTGATAGAATATTGGCATCCATTCGTATGATCTGGAGACTGGAGGAGAGAACGAGATGCGATGGATTCGAGGTGCTCCGTACTCCGTACAAAGTAAGGTATCCGCTTGGTCCATGAGATTTGCCTCATTTTGTCTTTGTCGAGGTTATTTAGCGGCCATTTGCCCAAGGGGCCCAAGGAAGAGGGGAATTGGGGAATAGGAGGGGGTCCAAAGCACGCTATTAGACTTGACGGGTTCCATCATTTGATCACACCGACCTGGTGGTTTTGTGAGAGTTCCTTCCCTGGGAATGCGGTGTGAGGTACGAACCGCCCCGCTGCCATGGGTACCTGCGAAGTAAGGCAGGTACTAAGGTATGGAGAAAGTATCTTGCTCTTGCCTCTTGGGATCAGTATGAAGTGAAATGGTGATAACATCAACAGAAGGAGAGAGATGCTTCTCCTGCTCTCTTTCCTGCCTAACCTCACGATACAAAGCATCTGTACTTAGGTATGCACCTTTCCACCCGTGGACGGCAAAGTCTAAGGCAAGGTACTGATCGATACTCCGTCCACGCGTCTGATGAGCAACTGGCGCAATTCGTGCTATCAGCAGGTGATCCCTGTTGGAGCGGTCCCCCGACCTCCCTTTCTTTCGCTCTTGCCAAAATGTGAGTGAGGGGCCGGCGGGCACTGCACCGACCACCACCCTTTTTTTTTTTCCCTTTTCCTCGCTCGCATTCATGGTCCAGGGATTCCATCGTCACCCGCCGCCGCATTTTTTGTTTTTCTCCCCCCCCATTTCGATTCGGATGGATGTTTCCCCCCGTCATTTGCCCAAGGTTGGCCGCTAGAACGGTCCTGCGGAAATGTGCTGCAGCTGCACGGAGTAGCGCATGCATCGTGGTGTGTATGTTCCTGAACCGCACTTGGTACCTTACCTTACCTCACGGATAAACCCTCTCGACTCCTCTCCTCAATCAACTGGACATTGGTGCTCACTTAGTCTACCAACATTGGTCCCGTTTCTCGCACTACTGCTGCATTGCCTTTGCCTTAGATGTTAGCAAGCCCCTTCAGGTCAGTCGCGAGGTGCATGACAGATACTCCCCCCCAGGGAATGGCCGGGAGTTGCGTACCTATCTGACAACCTGACGGGACTGGGTGACTGAACGTGTCGGGTGGTGGATGATTACTTCTACTCTTGTACTCGAGGTACGAATGGTATTGTTTGTTTGTATGTGCCTGACCTCGCCTTGGGCATCTTGTGTCTTTGCGCCATAAGGCAGGGTACTGATACCTTAACAATAAACTAAACGGACGGGACTCTCTGAGTGACCTCGCACTTCCAGACTCCAGAGTTCCCCCCCGTTCGGGCTAACCTCAGGTAACCAGGAAGTACCTTACCTGCTCTCTCTTTCTCACTCTTCTGCTGCCGTCTACCTCAAATGACAGTCCACTTCTCTGCCCGCCTCTCCTCCACACTGATGTACCGCTTCTCATTCGCATCTTCGTACCACTTTGACGGGGGGTTCAAGAAACAACGAGGAAGGGGAAAAAAAAAGGAAGACAAAAAATCTCTAAAGGCTCCAGTGCTCTCTTCTCTAGTGCTCGTTCCTGGCTCCATCCCCATCCACTGCACGCTCCACCACCCACCCTGGTCGTGACCTGCCCGCCCGCCTACCACCAGTCCACTGTCCATCACACTGACAACTTAAGCGGCGGGTCCTTCTTTCTCGAACAAAAACAACCAGTACTCCGTAGACACACGCAGCCAGCCAGAAAGAGAGAGCCCAGCCCATTCGCAGCAGTCGTAGTCCTCTCATCTCTGCACCGGCCCTCTCCAACCTCACTCCTACCTTACCGTAGGCCGAGTTTGGTGGTTTACGCCCCCCGTGCCCGCCTCCTTTCGACCAACGCCAATCCTCGCATCTTCAAAATCCTGTCCCTTCTGTCACCCCAACCAACACCAACACCGCCAACCCTTCAATCATCCGCCATTTGTCGTCCCGTGCCTGTCCTGTGTTGTCCCGGAATGAGGTAGCTTCTTCAATGCCCTCAGCTCCCTGACAGGACTGAGCTCGCCCGCACCGCATCGCGAACCCGATTCTCAGCGCCGTCGTGTCGACAAGCCCGACTTGATTCGACTTTCTCCCTCTCGAAACATTCTGCCGCCCTCGCCTCCACGCCATATCACGTCCAACGCTCGCATGATCTGCGCGCTGGCCGTTGCACCGCGTACACATGATAAGGGAGCATAGAATACCTGCTGGCCCACGACCGGCGAACCAGTCCCCGATCAGACTGTATGCCAATTCCCATTCCCATTTCCCCCTTTCAACATTGCCCTCGCTTCTTCGTTGCTGTTCACGCCGCTTTGTTATGCCCTGACCCATGCATCCCTGGGTAGATAACTACCTTACAGAGAGCTGACCCGATGATTGCTGCAGTAATAGGGGAATCCCAGACTCGCAAACCGACTCACCCTCAAAGGGCTCGTTCGCCGGCGGTCCAATGCTCAGTGCATCTTCGGCCAACAACCACCCTCTTTTTTCTTTTGGACGGAATGGCGCCGCGAACGAAGTAGCAGACTCGACACCTTCTTACGATTTTCTGCCCTCGGTCAGCTTCGACGACCTCCAGAGCAGTCTCGAGTCGGCTTCACACGACTTCAAATTGACCCAATTTCCGAATCCGACCGGTCAAGGTGGTATTCTCGACTCGGAGAGCATGGCCGACAAGATGGGCGGGGTCTCAAACATCTCCCAGAGTGGCGCGTCTGCGCGTGGTGGAATCCCACCTCCCGTTACTCGCCCTGGAAGATCTGGCTCAATCTTGAGGAGACCTAGCACGTCCAGCAGACAGCCAAGCATCTCCTCCATCGCTTCTGGGCCTTCGTCGTCTGTTACAGACGCGTCAACTGCCGCAGCGAGGTCTCGACGACAAAGCCACTACCCTCCAGTATCAAACACCAACATCGCGAAGCCACCTAGGAAATCCATCGGCCCGGGCGTCATTGAAACGGACTTTGGCAGTAACACTGCTCAACGTCGAAGACCGAGCCTGATGGGCACCGCTGGCAGTGGAACGGATTTCTCTCGGACCTCGATGGATGCCGGTGCCGGCATGGGGTTTGAGACTCCACGGAATCTCGCCAACAGTAGAGCGACAAAGGCCAAATCGATGCATCAGCCACTTCCCCGATCAAACACTGCCAACTTGTCAACACCAGACAACACCCGCCTTTCAACGATATCTCCGAGATCCCCTCGAGGCGGCAGCAAAGGAACTAATAACGGTTCGGCCCAATCAAAGAGGCAGTCGATGATGCCTGGGGGGCAGCATGCGTCACACGCAAGCGGACTTGGTGCCAGGACCATCAGTCCTACGGACACGCGAAGACTGAAGCGCATGTCCATGCACCAAACTCCGAGTCTCAACCAGGCGGCCAACGCGCCGCCACCACCGCCGCTCGAGCATCGAGAGCACTCTCGATCTCCATCAATGATACCCCGGAAGACATCTGCCACGCCATCGTCCTCCCGGACGACCCCGGACATCAACAGAAAATCGTACAGCTCCGGCCTTTCCATCACCTCAACCAACAGTTTCAATACGGTGAGAACATCTACAGGCTCAATTCAACCTCGGGCGCCTGTCGCTGGAGGTACTACATCGCGGCTACCGGCGCCAAAGTCGTCGAATCCGCATAATCATAACCCCCATTCCGCCGATGACGAGGAGGACGTCCCACCTGTACCTGCTATTCCGAAAGCGTACGAATCACCACAGCAGTCAGCCACGGAGGCATCGTTTTTGGATAAGCGCAAAGCCAACCTCGCAGCGGATGCTAGCAGCATTAACAGCAATTCAACTGGCAGCTTCTCCATACCATCCCTCCCCGAACCCGCTGTTAAGGTCGCCCGAAAGGCTAGTACCCGGAAGTCGACGAATGCGGCCCCCTTGGATACCGAAAAGAAGGGGAACGCTCCCCAATCGAGGAAGAACCCTCCACCCGTGCGGCTGCCGCCGATTACTGTCGGCCCGCTGAACTCATCGACGACCGCGAAGATTGCAGCTTTGGGCCAAAATGGCGCCGACCGAAACCTGAGCCCCCCTCCCTCACGCATCATCGCAAAGACCCCGACCACCCCCATGACCGCGTCGAAAAGCTCCTTCTTCTCCAGAAATAGACAGGACGACAAGTCTGATTTCCCCAACCTGCGAAGCAGCAGCACTGTGCACCACTCCCGAATTGATAGTGCATCAGGTGCTGACGGCACAAGCTCGTCCGAGTCTTTCGCGGGAGTTCCGATACCGGTACCTTATAAAGCGACTAGAAAGCCCAGCGTGTCTCCGTTCCTGTCCTCCTCTGTCCCCAAGCCCGGCGCGGATCCTGCTTTCCTGAAGAGGTCACAGACAGGCGACCTTGGGAACATCACGGAAACTCTCGAAGTAAAGCCACCGCAGAAGCCTTCTGGTCCCCGTGCCCAACGGCCTGTGAAAGCAAAGTCCCCCACGCCGCCAATTTCGGATCCGGAAGAACCACCTACTCCGTCCTCAATGAGCTCCTTGCGTAGGAAGTTGAGCTTGTCGTGGAAACGTAATACCTCCAAGACTGATTCGAAAGCTAGCACATCGGAAAAGACTGTTGAACGCAGCATTAGTAAGGAGCAGATGCCACCGCCGCGGTTGCCCATTTCTGCAACGGTTGGGAATCTCAGCTCAGCCAAGAACAGCCCAAGTCCGTCCGTCAAGGCGAATAACTCGTACCTCGAATCAAGGAGGAGAAAGAGCTCAGCAGCGAGCCTGGGCCATGATAGAACTAAAAGTGAGAACTGGACCTCGGCCTCCGTCCCCAAGACTGTCAACGACCCGCACAACCCTTCCGTCATGCAAAAGATTCTGCGCCCGAAGGCATCAGCAACGACCATGCGTCACCACGACCCGTGGACTGCCGAGCTCGACAAGGACGACCTAGTTGCCGAGGAAGAGATGAAGAAGATGGGCTCGAGAAGAAAAGAAACGGAGATCGCGGCTAGGACCCTCGACGCATTACGGAAACGTGCGACGCCAAAGGAACGAGTTGGTGCCCAGGAAGCTATTCGGATCGCCATGCTCAACATTTATGAGCGTGGTGAAATCGTTGATTACAACGATGTCTACTTTTGCGGCACGCAGAACGCTCGCAAGGTTGTGGGCGATCTTCAATCCGAAGCCCCCAACTTTGGTTACGACGACGAACGTGGAGACTACACTATTGTACCGGGAGACCATCTTTCGTACCGGTACGAAATTATCGACGTGCTTGGCAAGGGAAGTTTCGGTCAAGTCGTGCGGTGCATTGACCACAAGACGGGTGTGCTCGTGGCTGTGAAGATTATTCGCAATAAGAAGAGGTTCCATCAGCAGGCTCTTGTGGAAGTCAACATTCTGCAGAAGCTTCGCGAATGGGTAGGTGTTTTCGGACCTACATGCAGCGCTTTTGGCTAATTTTGGTTACAGGACCCCAAAAACCGACACAGCATGGTCAACTTTACGCACAGCTTTTACTTCCGGGGACATTTGTGCATTTCGACCGAACTTCTGGACATGAATCTCTACGAGTTCATAAAAGCAAACGCTTTCCGCGGATTTTCACTCAAGCTCATTAGGCGAATGACGAAACAGATGTTGAGCTCCCTGAACCTTTTGAAGCAGCACAAGGTCATCCACTGCGATCTTAAGCCCGAAAACATTCTGCTTCGGCACCCGCTGCACTCAGAGATTAAGGTCATCGACTTTGGCTCTAGTTGTTTCGAGAATGAAAAGGTGTACACCTATATTCAGTCTCGATTCTACCGATCACCCGAGGTCATCCTAGGCATGACGTATGGTATGCCCATCGACATGTGGAGTCTTGGATGCATCCTCGCCGAGCTCTATACGGGAGTCCCAATCTTCCCTGGAGAGAATGAGCAGGAGCAACTTGCCTGTATCATGGAGGTATTTGGTCCACCAGAGAAGCATCTGATCGAGAAGAGCACTCGCAAGAAGCTCTTCTTCGATTCCATGGGCAAGCCGCGCCTGACCGTGTCCTCCAAGGGCCGGAGGCGTCGCCCTAGTTCCAAGACACTGCAACAAGTCCTTAAGTGTGACGATGAGGCATTCCTGGACTTCCTTGCGAGATGTCTGAGATGGGACCCTGACAGGCGTCTCAAGCCTGAGGAAGCCATCCACCACGAGTTTATCAGCGGCAAGAAGATGACCGCTCCTCTACCCCGAGTTCCGACGACACGTGAGGCGTCACCGGTGAAGCGCCACACCGTTGGTGCGCCGCGACCTCTGCCTGAACCTCCCGCTTCCGGGCTCAAGAGCGGCATCCGATCCCGAGACGTTAGCGGCGCAAGCCCTCACAAGCCCGTGTCAACGGCATCATCTCGCAGGCCGTCTGTAGCCACCAGTGGAACGGTTCACGTTGCTACAGCCAAACGCACCAGCACTGGCCAGGGAGGTGTCACCATTGGCACTAGCAGTCTCCCACGCGCGGCAATTAGGAGCGTCAGCGCCAAACAAGACTTGGCTTCAGCCGGAGCCACTGCAGCCATGAGTCGGAGGGGTTTGTGAGCAAGCGCCCTCTCAATGACTTTGTGGTCGCCGCACATACAGAAGACGAATAGAAGGAACGAAGCGCTTGTTAGATGTGGTTTATGAGGCATTGGGTAGTTGATTATGGTTGTTTTTTATTCCCTCTCTGCGCTACATCCCTTACGAACAGCGAACATATTCCTCCGCCATGACCACGTTTGAATGGAGTGACGCAATACCCAGCACGAAAAAAAGTCACAATCGGGAGGAAAGGAGTCGAATTTAGGCATGGAAGGGCAGTTTTCTTCATGACGAGTGCGCAGTCGGGGGTCGCGGACTGAAAGCCCTGCTGTCATAACAAAACACCGCATTATATTCTTTTTCCCCCCCAACGCATCTCCGGCTCTACACATATATAAACACACACGGAAGACATGAGTCCAAGGCTCGTCGGTGTGGAGTAGTGATGAAGGGGCGGTATCGGCACGGGATTTGATCCGCCGGTCTCGTGGCCGCGACGGGATAGGGCCAGGTCCGGCCTGGTTTGTTTGTGTGTTGTTGCCTATCACGACCACCATGAGAGATAGAGATGTAGGCAAATATATGTATATTAATAATGACGAATGGCCTTTTTGAATGCATGGACGCTCCATTTTGACAGGGAGATGTGTGTTTTGGCGTACCGTGACATTAGGACTGCTACGCAAATGCGAGGAAAGGGGTGTAACTTGGTAGTGTACGTAGGCTGGCGGTCTTGTCTCGTATCTACGCCGTTGCGATGATTCTGAAGTGATATATGAAGAAAGGTCCAGAACCGATACGGGCGCGAGTATGCCTCGTAGGCTACAAGACATTCCAGGAAACATAAGATATCACAAAACAAAAGGAGAAACAAACATCACGATGGGGTAACTCGATGGAAACGGAGAGGCGTAGCAAGGAAAGAAGACGAACAGTCCTGCCTTGGTGACACCTCGTAAAGGTAGGCAGGCAAGGTACTCCGTAGGCAATTGAGATTGTGACTCTTGTTTAGTCCGGGTTATCTAGGTATCTCGTGATGTGATGTCGACCTCTAGCTAGGGGTCCCGGGTGGCGAGGAAAGGGGGGCGTGAGAGAGGGAATGGGGGTAAGGTAAGGTTGATGGACGGCGATGGGCTTGGATGGCCTGGTATACAATGAACTCCGTACGCTCTGGTGGGTCTATCTGCCGACCCGTCGGGATCTCTCTTGCTAGGTATCTGTTTCCGCGAGGCAGATGGAAGGGTCTATGATTCAAACGGGTGGTCGAGGCCTCCTTGGCCTTTTGGGGGAGAGGGACGCAATACAGACGCCACGCCGTTTCTTTTCCCACGCCCTCGACTCCCCAAGTACCGGACCCTGGATTATTTGGGGGCCGAAAGCTTGCGCCATGCTGGCTTTGAGGGGGAACATTTCTAGGTAACAATGTTGGACTCTGAGGGACCTGGCGACGAGTGATTGAGAAGGATAATTGGGCTATGTGCTGTATCGTGAAGACATACACGCTGTAGGCAGCAGATGTCCAACACCCTTCGTACTCGGGCATGGGGAAGTCTTGGATCATTCATCGGCTCCCAATGGGCGTTAATATTGGCGGCTGCGAGGTGAGATAGCACTTGGGCTCGAAAGCATATCAGACCATGAGGGATGACCCGGGATCCTTCATGACTCTTGGCTCTGCCGTTTTAAATGCTTGGTGCTCCACGGCACGAGAAACGGTGGGGGGTTAGGGAGCCGGGGGGTTTCGCCTGCGATCTTGACTCAGGGACTTCAGTTCTCTGCAAGACCGAGCAATGGCTTGGGATCGTGCGTCCTCAATAGACGAATCGAACAGTGAAAGAGCCTAGGCCATTCCAATTTCCAAAGTCTCCATGATCCCATGTTTCACATCCCGTGGTCCCCTTGACTTTCTCTCCTACCCCTTGACCGCAGAGGAATGAACACATTGGAACCCCCTACCTCATCCGTACTGCGGCAGGAAATGCGGCGGCACAGCGTCAAAAAGTCAAGGGCAAGGGCATAAGACAAGACCCTGGCGGAGCTGAAAGGTTGATGGGGTACCCCTTGGCTGTGGAGCAAATGCGCGCTTGCGGTGCGGCTGCGATATTGCGTTTCGGGGCCGTTCGGGCGGGTGTTTGGCCTGGGGGTGTGCCTTTTCCTTTCGCGGGACTAAAGACAGCAGAAATGGTTGAGGGAAAAGAATGCATGTCAAGAGCTGCTGGACGGTCCTGTACGGACACCGACAGAGGACGTGAAGGAGGGATCCTGCCGAAACGAAATCATCGGGAGGGAGTGCAGACTCGCTGGCGGCAAGGCGGCTCTCTTTCTGACGACATTTGTGGGGAGAATCGGGAAGCGCACAAAAATGCCTTGTAGGATTCACCACGCCTTTCTCATCGCGTGTGTGACGATTGTTTTTGGCCCCACGGATCCGCGCGGATGTCAATGATCGGCAAACCTCCAAAGCTTGGACGGTTTGCGAGCGCAGAGGAAACGATTGCCTAGAGGTTGCTGGAGCGGAGAATGGGATGGCTGGTTCCTTCTCCGAGCGCTTATTACCTAGGCGTGGGGTCCTTGCCGAGGTCGAGACCACCGCGTTCGACGTTGAGCCTCACATTTGCCACTTGGTAGGACTTTGTTGTTTCGAGACACTGTTGCAACAGGAAGGAGTTCGGTATCGACTCCCTGGGAGGTAGGTAGCACTCATTGCTGCCGCTGCATCGAGATATTCTGGTCGTACCGGTACGCCAGGACTGTTCAATTAGCTCGGCATATCTTCTCGATCGCCAGGGGCGTGTGGCCGCGGGAAGAGGCCAACGCTGGAGCTGAGACATGGGTGCGGGAACAGAGGAAAGCCACAGCACGGTTCGGGGACTTTTCTATTGGCGTGGGCCTGGTGACCACGGAGTCCTGACGGCAGTGAGGTTTGACCGTTCGTTTGTGGCACGGGTCAGCCTGACAGGAAACACTAAACAGACCAAGTTAGGACGGCGCGGGAACCGTTGCAGGGAACACACCGGCCGAGGCACGGATTTGGAAACGGGGTGTGGCTGGGGACGCCTTACTGTGGTTCAGCACAAACGGGTGCCAACTTCCACTGGCCGTGCTGCTTCAACTGCGACGTGCAATCCTGGATCACGATCCATTACCGTAATGGAAGACCGGACCAGTGGAGAGTCGGCGACAGAGGAAAAGGGTTGTAATTCCTCGTAATCCCTTCTTGACAACACGGCATAGGGTATCTCCAGCACAAACAACGCCGGGGAGCTCCATGTTCGAGGAGTTCTAGTGGGAAAGAAGTCCGGGTTTCCTGGTGTAGAATGATGCAGAATGATGCTGATGACGGTTTGGATAGGCGCGAATTAGGGTAACTCGTAAGATTCCCACGATCAGTGCAATTGCAGCGGATAATGAGCGGAGAGACTACAGACCGACTAGACAGGCATCCGGGGGGGGCACGCATGCATCGTGCTTGTTTGTGTTTCAGCAAGTGAGAAACCTAGGAGAAAATGACGGTATACTCTGAGGTTTGAACGGCACGGCGGCAGTTGAACACGTCGAAGTGTGGACATGTCGAGCAGAATGCCCCACACAAGACCGACGGCGACTCCGGCCAAGACGTGGTGGGAGAGACGGGGCGGCGGCGTTGAGCGGTAGGTAAAAGTGGACCAGGACTCTTGATTCCACCGTGATGGGAAGAGGCCCTTGTGGTTCAGTCGCGGTGGCTTGCTGACTGCGAGGCTGTGTTGAAGCTAAGTAGACAGGGGCCGTAACTCATCCATGGCGACGACAACGAGGGGTCGATCCCTGGATGACGTCCAGTGGCAGGACGAGGAGCATCGCTGGTTCGCTCACTGCCCAATCGCTTGCGCTCCTTGTGAGACAGCAAATCCTTGCTCCCAGTGAGGATCCCCCACAAAGTGAAATATGAATTGGCTCAACGAGGCTGTTGCAGTCTCGAAGCAGTCATAGCAAGATAGAGTCATTTGAGGTGCATAATGATGGTCCGATCCTTTCTTTGAACTTGCTCGACGATTCTGCAGATACCCCAACGTGAAGAGGTTGCTTATCCCTCAGACCCGGGTATAGAGAAAGTGATATCGGTCAACGTATTATCGCAGCTTTCGTCCGAGGTAACTACTCCGTACCGCTGCTAATAGAACAAGGTAGCAACTCAACCTGGTCCGGTCATGAATATTGGACGTGATATTCGTACGGGGATGAGGGGATCGAGAGTGCTCTTCGATTGGCATAACTCCAACCGGCGGGGTTTCTAATGCTGCAATCCTCCACCTCTCCGCCCGGTCCCGCAGATGGGCCTCCCCGCCGGGCGCTCGGAGTGGCAAGCTACGGGATAGATGTGGCATCGGACCGTTCTCCATCGGGCACCGAAAGACGCGCATTCGTGATTGCGCGGCAATTCAACCGTTGAGGACGTGACGCCCGGGTCGCGACCCTTGATCGGGCGAAGACATATCTTGGTGAGCCGGATTTGGGACTATCGGTGAGCGCAGGCTGCTGTAGGCGACACTAGAATCTTGAGTACTTGGGGGTGCTCTACAGGCTCGAGAGTTAGTGTACTAGCCGAGGGTTGGGGTTACACAAAGGCCTCGTAACGACTTGGTGTATCTTATTTCTGGCATTTTGCGGTACTTGTACGGTCTGCGGTAGTATGCTGCGGGACTTTGACGCAGGTCTTGTATCGGGCCCGTCTAGCACGAGATGCATCGGCCCCAGTGCGACAGTGGAGAGCCTGTGTTGGTCGTGCATCGAGCACCACAATGCCGTGAATTGCGAGGAATTTGTTGGTCGACTGTTCTGGTGCTCCGCCGAGTTCAATGGTGCTTCCTCATCGTTACGGGTTCCTGGATATGTCCCTGAAGCGCCTCAATCAACAGCCAGTGGAAGGGCTATCTTCCTAAGGGCCACCAGTAGAGAAGTGTACCTGTTTGAGTGATTGGAGGGGGCGTGTTGGTGTACTCTCTAGGCAAGCATGCAGTCTAGAGAGCCGAATCCTGAACCAAGGCAACGTGTAAGACGGCCATGTTTGACCGCGGACCGTCCTCCGAGTCCCGTTCATCGTGTTAGCTAGTTGGCTATCAGCATTGAGGCCAAATACCGAGAGGGTAGATAGGTGGTGGTAGGTAAGACAATAGAGGTGACGACTGATGGGCGATGTCGCGTTACAACCAAAGCCGCCGTCTTGTCATAGGATATGAAGTTGTGACGCATCGTCTCGGAGTCGCCAGTGACAAATCCTAGTTCAAGTTGCAGCACATGGACGAATTGTAAAAAATGCTGAAATTAGTGCATTTCTCTCGAATGTGTATGGACGACGGCCAAGAATCCCTATCCAGAAGTACGTCGCTAGTGAATCTCCCACGGAAGCGGTCTGTCACCTGAACGGAGCCGGGGAGGCAGGGAGGGCAGGGAAGGGCTGTGGAGACGAGCACGTGAGGGCCATGCCTGCCATCGCCTGTCCGCACCAGTCAAATGGGCCAATTGGAAGGGCTTGGCGGGCGCAAGCTTTCGTAATCAAGCACACGAACTTGCCCTTTTTGGCAAACCTGCATCCCCATGTTCCTTCCCACTGCATCGTCCCTCGCCCAGGCATCCCAGGCAGCACACCCTCATGCCTCTTGCCCGTTTCCTTCACCACCCGTGGACCTCACTTTCCATTCACCACTACCTTACCCTGCTGGATAGGGAGTACAGATACGTACTCCAGATGGTGCCAGTATTCTTTCTTTCCTGTCCCATCTACCACCATGATCCATACCTTCTTTGGCCATGATCCATCCTTTCCCAGGCCCTGGAGTTCGGACTCAAGCATGTCCCATGCAGCAACCCAGGGCAGCAGCAGTCCTTGGCCTAGACCCCCATGGGCCCTCCTTTCTCTCTCTTTCTCTCTCTCTCTTTCTCTCTGTCTCTGGAGTCTGGAGTCCTAGATTTTGTCTTGCTCTGCCTATGATCTCACTCCCATCGGCTTAGCTTCTCTACTGCACCTCTGACGCTCTTCTACTGTCTCAACGACCACCGGTAATACCACCACGTAACGAAGGATACACACACCTGGCATGACGCCAAATCCGTCCGCTGACCTGCGTCCTGGTGCCTGCGTTGACCGACAGCCCTCATGCAAGCTTTTGGGATCTAGCTGCATTGCTATCGTCAACTGTCCGTCAAAGCCGTTGCGGGCTCCCTCAATGTGTTGCGTCTAGTCTGATACCTACCTTCTACCGGTACACACATCTACGGATATCAATCATCCACTAGCAAGTACCTGCAGCCACTTCAATTGCACACCGATGACCGCTGTCGAAATTCCAGAAGGACTCGGCGAAAATCATGCATAGTGAGGCCGATGGTGGTGGTGTTGCTCTCCATCTACAAGCCTCGCAGGACTTGAAACCAGCAATCTATAAGGCTTTCAACGGCCCAAGGCGATGAATCAAAGTACGGGCTGCAAACCAGGGCCTCTCATAGGATTGTCTGCAACCCCTTGCCCTCTTCTCACCAGCCGTGCGTTGACAGGTTCACGGGCCAATACCGGAGCCTTGGATTTGGAGGGAAGGACCCGTCGATCAAAGTCTCAAGCATGCCTTTGCATCGGTCGAATGGCAGCTCGTCTCCCTTGAGACTTGCATTGGCCGGTGTACGGGGACTGACGGAAGCCGTTGCATCCAAGACATATTCCACATTGGATTATCTAGGTACCTCCCTTTCGCCCACTCTACTCTGCGGGACTGAGAGATGCTCATCTAAGCTCCCTCGCCCATGGATCATGGACTACTGGGATCCGCTGCCCCTGGCATCACATCGCATCTCATTTTCAGCCATCACCAGGTACCCTGCGATCCAAGAAGCCCGCCCGAGTCTCTCTCACCAGGTGCCCGGGTCTGATCTCGACATGGCCTCCAATGACGGCATGATGCTAAGCGCGTTTGATCTGACCATCCTCCCGATAACTGGGAAGAGCATGGAACCTTCGCATGCAGAAGCTCCCGGGCATGGTCAGCACCAGCACCAATTCGGAACGTACTGTGGCCAATAGGCACTACCAAGACAGCCACCACAGTATGGTGGAACCTCTGGTGGATGGCCTGCATACACCATTGCACAGCCTTATCCCGGTATAATAGCACAACGAACAGTTGTATACGATCGCCGAGCTAGGGCGTCGAGTTACTTGGTCGATAATAACGGGCATCTCACCTTACCTCGACGCATGGCTATTCTTTCCTGGCAGTCAGCAAGAGTGTCATCTATGCCGACCTCTATCAACATAAGGTACTGACCTGTGTAAAGCAGCTTACCATTTGAACCTATTATGGTCAAGCTATATTCAGCAATTGGATGGAGACAACTGCTTCCATTTCGGTCTGCTCCATGCGTCAACCCTGGGCCTACTTATTCGTACCTCAAGGCAGGCTGCGATTACTGTCCACTCAGGATTCAGCTTGGACGCTACGAGTACCAGGGTCACCTCCTTCACCACGATGGAGATCCGAACCGGTCGCTCGCATGCCAGCCCATCACAGCAAAAGATTTGTACGACGTCCATCGGTACCTGACGCGTGGATCATGTCCCTGTTCTGTCATGCTGCAACCAACTACACCGCATCGTGGCAGAACAACTCCCCCTGCTTACTCTCAACGATGAACATGGCGGGCCTCAGAGCGCAATCGAAGCCACCGGGCGACAGATCAACACTAGACCTCGGGTCAATCTTGATGACATACCAGCGAAATTGGAGGGCCAAGACTCGTCGTACATAGCAAATGCACTTTCAGTCAATCGGCAGCGCTTTGCGGTCATCAATCCGTGCATACTTAGAAGACAGGTTCTATGGGGCAGCTCGCGAACCTCTGACCGGCATGTTCTTCTTTTAGCAATGACAGCCGTAGGCTAAGAAGCCAAGCTCCGACCGAGTGGTGCCTGTCCCCCGTTAGCGTGTGTGCCAGAGGAGCAATCGAAAATCGAAATACAGAGGATAATTCAAGATCGAGCTCACATCCGATCTGTTAGGAACCTCGGAAAGGATATCGGTCAACGGGGAGTACAGCATCACCACCACCACCATTACCACCACCACACCTTATTGCTCCTCGTGGAAGGAATTTGCGTGGCGGCGGCACCGGGCAACACGGAAAGATCGCCGCATCACAAACGGCTAGGCGTAAAGAACCTCGGTGCAGCGACACAGAGTCAGCCCTGCGGTCCAAGGCATTGGAGCTATCTTGGGGCCGTTCGTGCCATGCCCTGCCTAGAGCTGGTGCTGGTGCTGATGTCGAAGTCAGTGCCACCAGCCGATAATAGACAGTGGGGGGTCTCTATTTCGCCCATTAAGCGCAACCACCGGACGAGGCGGCAGCGGCAGTCATAGCTGGATCGGACGAGCAGCATCATTGTCAGCAAAGAGAGGCTACCTTACCTTACCTTACCTCGGGGTGAGGGCAGTACCTGGCAGCACTGCAGCAGCCGGCAGCACACAACATGCGACATACGACAACTTAAGCAACATGCGGCGATGCGCATCTGTGTTTCCAGAAATGTTTCTGGGCGCAAGGGGAGAAACAGAGATGGCCCACCAACCATGCAACACGGCTGCAATTCCATATCGTCTTCCAGAGCACAATATCGCGGACGGGACCAATTGGGGTTCGTCGATTCTTTTTCTTTTCGTACAACCATCCACCCATGCCCATCCCATTCCATCCCATCGCGCATCAGCCCTGCTGCACCTCATCAACCCAAAGTATGGGGACAGACCGGCAGTGTCCAATTTGAGAGATGTTTCGATTGGAAAGGATGCTGAAGATGACTCTTTTGACCGACCCCCCCGTTCCCCCTTCACCCTTACCTCAGGGCTCCCGTCGCCAGTCTCCATCGGAGCCAGCCCCCCCTCCACTTGTGCACACCTACATCTACGAATACATAGGAAGGTATCCGTAGTCCGTACCTAACGTACCTCACTTGGCTCTCGTCGATGTGCCCTGTCTAGTTCGCTCAGAGTACGCACACCCACCACCATTCTCACCCCCCCTCCACCCCAGCCCGTTTTCCACCGCTCACCCCTCCTCTCCGCCTGCTCACTTCTTCGCTCTTCTCGCACTCATTCTTTCTCTTCTCACACCTTTTTCACTTGCTGCGCCTTACCAGGCCATGATGGGAAAAGGTGCCTTGCACCTTTTCCTGGTCCTGCCCTGCGCCATCAAGACCTCTGTCTGCATACCGCTCTAATGCACAAGATGCAGCCTTAGTCATTGGTCTCACTCAGACAAATGACATCCACTGTCGACTGCCAGAGGTCCCACTGCTGCCTTAGACGGCTCTCTCTACCAATCTACCAATGGCCTACCCGTGTGACGACCTCCCAGGCTGCCAGACCTATAAGGTCGTGATGCCTTCGCTCTTTTCCATCTCCCCATCCTTAGTCTACTCTAGTATAAGTCATCACGAACACACTCACTTGGGTTCCCTTTCCTATTTCCTATTTCTGCCTTATTCCCCTTGCTTCTCTGCATACCTGGCAGCTTTCAGTCTCTCTGATCATTGCTCAACTCGATAACCCCCCAACCAAACACCAACAACACAAACTTCCTCAAGAGATAAAGCCATCCACTCTCCCAACTCATATCTCAGGGACCAAATTCCTCAGTCCTTCACATCATCCATCACTTCAGTCACTCAGCGTACTCGTTGAACAACATTCACAATGTGCTATCAACTTGTCGAGCTCTACTCAGCGTGCCGCTGCCTCTACTACCAGCACGCCATTGACAGATGCGCTGCCTACGGCCGACCAGGACATAGCATCCAGAACAGAACGATTTTGGTCGGATACGCCTGCCATGCCCACTCTTCGTCACACAGCACGTACGCATCACAATACTCATACGCCGACTCTGGCTACCACTCTAGCCATTCCAGCAAGGGCTCCCGCCACTACCGGTGAAATGTCTTGTCTTCGGTGATGGGTTGCTGTTCATGGCATTCCCCCAAGCTGCTGCTTTTCCAATTCGGCACTTGGGTTGCCTACCTATACTCCTTCAGAGGAAGGTCGGCCTCTCAAACGCTGCCACCCTCGCAGCTATCTCTCCTCTTCGTCGGCCATGACCGTTTGATGTCTTCGTCGGCGCCTCCCGCCGTGCGATGACTCTCTGGCCAATGGCTTGTACGGATCCCTCCACTCCGGTCATTTTACCACCAACACCATCCAACTACTTTCTGCCATCACGCCCTGCCATGAAGTTCAGCAACGAAGTTATCGAAGACAGAGACGAGATCACGAACATGACGGAAACATTTCACGGCCTATCAATTGTCATCATCAGCACGCTACAATCAAACGACATCTTCAACCAAGCTCACGCCCCCCGGTCTCGCTCAAAGTTCGAAATCTTCTCGCCATCCAATTCTTTCCAACTTTCTCTTTCCCTTTTCCCAGTTCGGCTTTCTTCCCTTCTTTCAATAGATGTGGTTTCTTTCCCTTTCTACATTGGACTTGCATAGCGTTGGTTTTGGGTCTTTTTTTTTTTTTTGCATTGAGCGGTTGGGATGAACACATGCATACAAGAGATGCCTAACTTCTAATTGGGCTGGACCTCATTTTCTCTGCCTTTGGGGCTACACTTTGGACTTACACTTTGGGTTTCAAGAGGCGGAATTTTTTCAAGTCAGCGGCGGCAAGATTCGATTCTACAGGCATTCGGCAACGGTCTCATTTTCAACTTGTGTAGTTCACGGACAAGTTTTCGATGCATTCGACGGGCGGGAGGATACCAGGCGTTCAGGTTCGGAAAGATGCAAGCGCTTCGCTGCGCATGCGATGGTTGACGAGATTATCAGGGTGAGCGAGGTTTTTTGCTATTACATTGTTGTTCTTTTTCCTTTCTTCGTCTTCTGCTTTCCAATGTTGCATATCAGAATTGTTGCTTTGTCTCTCAGATTTCTCTCTCAATCTCTCTACTTACTCTTCTCCTGTTTTCTGCCAAGATTTCTCTCTCTCTTGCTTCCATCTCTCACATGATCTGTACTATCATCCGATGATAGACGAGTTGCTCTGCGAGCAACGAGGGAAAAAAAACAGGACAAGGGGTGTCGATGGCAGTGGACACACGAATGGGCAACTGGAGTGCCCGTAACGAGGAAGAAAAAGCGCCATGACGCCTTTCTTCACCTTAACACAAATTTGATGCCAGACATCAAGTCTTCGTTTCTTCGAGATTCGACCATGAGCATTTCTCATTCAGGGGACCTTCTTGCACTGCCAAACTACGCGGGCTGTCTGGAACTTCCTGAGCTTGGTAAAAACACAGTACGGCAAATTTACCCCCTGCAGGAATTGAGCTGGTTGCAATTGGAGGCCAGACCCGCGCGGCGATCTGGCCAGAGAATCAATGTATTAGAGAGACCACATTACCAACATAGACAATCTGGAAAGAAATTCCAAGAGCTTCTACACACTCTGCACACTCTAGACCCAATTGAAAACCCCTCCAATCGTGAATATGTTTCTCATCTCAATGCATACGATAGCAGTGAAATGGGAGGTGGCAAATAATTAATGGTCCGCAGTCTAAGGTAACTTCACGAAGAGTGAGTCAAGATCCTGCAAAGTTAGGCAGATTCGGGGCCATGTTACCCCAAGATAGGCCCCAATCAGAAGTTGTCAAGGGGGGTGTGTTGATGGGAAAGTGTGGGTTTATTAGCGACGTTGCAACCTTGAAGAGTATTTGCGGACTTTGCGCGGTGTTGTTTGCACTTTACTGAAACGGGAATCATCTTTCAAATGTGTGGGTTTGTAGCAAAATAGCAGACAAATGATTCGGAAGGATTTCCAAGGGAAATGTTCGGACACAATAGGTTGGGCCATGCAATGCCATCCTGCCCGTGGAGAACTTTATTTCGAGTAGGATTTTTCTTGGTCGTTGGCGGCTGCTCCCTCCTCGGTATGTGCGGTGCGGTGCGGTACAGTACAGTCCTGGCTGGCGGGCGGGCGGGCGAAGGAACAGCAGGCAGGCATCAGCACTCAGTTGAGCCCGTCTCTTACACGCCATTGGTCGAGAGAGACGAAATCTGTTTTGGGGGCCGTGACCAGCCTCGTTTGGATGGCCGAGACTCAGCCTTGCGATAGGGGGTGGTGGTGCAAAAGCAAGGGGGCGTATATGTGTGTGCGAATGGGAGATATGGGAATCACGAAGAAGTTGAGTTCAATTGCGTGGTGGTGGTTCAAGGTGCTGACGGGATTTCGGGGAGGGGGCTGCTTTCTTTGCCGGACGCACGGAGGAGAATGGAGTGCCGCGGGAGGCCTTTGCATGGACTCCATGGTATCATGGGAATTTGGGCGGCGGTGGTGGGGGGGGGGGGTGTTTGGGAAAACGTGAAAACATAACGGGAACCAAAGGACATGGGTATCTTGGACGGGTTGGTGGGTACCTTGACTGCACTTCCCACTCGCCGGGACTCGAGAAAAAATAAAAGGATTCTGAGACAGTGGTGAAGTTGGGGTGGGTTGATGAGTGGGAAAGACTCCCGGTGAGATGGGTTGATGCAGTGTCGAGCGGGAGGGGAGGGGGTGGTGGTGTATTCTGTTATCCAAATGGGGAAAATGGAATGCAAGAGACGTATGCATGGGTACGGAGTATGGTGTTTGTCAGATCTGTCATGGATTGAGCTGTACCACACAGAGTACGAGGAAGAGGAAACCCTGGAATTAACGGGTACCTAGAAAGAAAGCCTTGCGCCAAGAAGGGCGTGTAAGTTTGGACAGACGTATCCGTGGACCGTACCTGGGTACCTTACACAGATGCGGATGGTGGGGTTTCCCTTGGGGCGTGTGTCTGTCTGGTCCCGAAAGGAAGGGACTGGGAAATCGGGAACGGGAAAGTCAGGTAACACGGGCATGGGGAGTGATATGCCGGTCCAAATCTTGAAGGGGACAGAAAGAGACAGATGAAGTGCGTGGGAGGTCCCGTTCTAAGAATAGGTTTATTTTTAGACGTGCGGAGAGAGACAGCCAGACAGATGGAAGGGGAGAATTGAACTAAACAGACGAACACCGCAACGAACGGGTGGTGGGGAGTGGGGAAATGGGCGACTGACTGACAACCTAAGCACAACAAGCGAGCTTGTGCGCGCGCGCGGCGACCGTCGCGGCAGATGGCCCAGAGGTGCGTGGGTGCCAATGGCATGGACATGGGCGTGAGGCGCCGAAATAAGCGAAGTTCCGCGCTTGTTGGGGAATAGCCGCAATTGAGTGTCATTTGGTGTGACAGGTGAGCCGGCGTGGGTTTTTGTGGGGGGAAGCTATTTGGTGAGGTGACGGGAAAGGGCGTGTTGTGGGGTCTAAAAATGAACATCGTACGGACATGGGGAGCACATGGGATTACCTCCCGGAAGTCGGGGGTATGAAAGCAATGTCTTGGTGGATTACGCATGTCTTTTGGGCCCTTTTCGGTTGCTGCATGGGACTTTTTCGCGTCTTCTTTCTCTTAATTAGAGTAAGGTAGCGTATATGGATGAGTGTGAGTATGAGTCTAAGTGTGTGTGGGCTGCATGTGTTTCTTTTTTGGGCCGTGTCTAATGGGGAAATGCGACGGTAAGCATACATGATCTCAGTGAGGGAGGGAAGAAGTGAGTGCTTAGTGGACGGGTTTGCCGCTTGCCGCTTGCCGCTGCCGCTCTTGGTGTGATGCATGAGGTGGTATGTGGTACAGTAAGATGCCAAAAATTGTCTGCGGTGAAGAATGCGCAGGCTTAAGGAGGGGGATGGGGATGATGTGTGTGTGGTGATGTGATGCTCGCACTTGTGTATGTGTATGCACGTCTGTGTATAGTGTGTAAGTGGGTGGGTGGGTTAGGAGGGTGATCAGTGAGAGTTGAGTGGTTGAAACCAAGTGCCATGACAACCCATTAAGGAGGGTCGAGTAAGATTCTCATGAGATTACATAGACGACAGGCGCGGAGAGGCGCAAGCGGAAGGGAGAGAGATACGACACGTGCCGCAGACATGCACATACCTTTGGATACATAAGCGCAAGCGCTTTGGGGTCGTGCAGGTGTGTGTATCGCGACGTGAAATATCTGGTCAGTCTAGACGGGCTTGACGCTAGGGCTCTGAGCCTTGGTTTCTGTGGTTGCAGCGCAGCGCATGGTTCACAATTGGTGAGATGCGAGATTTCCCAGATGTGAGGGACGCCGAGCGAGGGTTGGGTCGGGTGCTTTTGAGATGAGGTCACCCCAGGTACCGCTCCACACCCCCGTCACCATCTTGGCCTTGTCCTTCATTCCACTCTTGCGTATGGAGTCCGGAGTACAAGCTCGACGTATTTGATGTTGGAAGCATGAGCGTAAGGGAAACGATTCCTAGGCATCAATTCGATAGAACGAGAAAACGCAACGATGTATCCATACACTGCTATCTAAAGACACGCCTTGTCGTTGGGAGCTTAGCACCTATGCTCACTTGTCAGTACTCCGTATCCGTGCGTAGAGTCGTAGTGACTTTGAGACATCAGACATGACAGCTGTCCGCTGTGCAGATCGTCCAAAGATTTTCCAGAATTCAAATTTAGACAAAAAATGACTTCATCAACAAGGGGGGTAGAAACGACAGTTGGTCGTATTTTCTGCCCAAACGTCAGGGGGTGGGGGCTGTCCCTGTCCTGTTCGTCTGAAGAAGCAACTTCTCATCTGAACTTTGCTCCATTCTGAAAGAGGGTCCCACGGTAAACGGGATGCCTCCTCACCTGAAAAAAAATCGTGGGACTACTGATACTTCGTACTTTGGTTTCACGATGTTTGCGTTTCTTTCCTTGCTGGGTATCATTTGAGTTTCTTCCTCATCATTGCTTTTCTTTAATCTCCACTCAATGGTCCGAAAGTAGAGGGGGACGTGCGGCAGGATTCTCGGCATTTTATGACCTATAATGACCAAAGACATGTTGAGGGATTGAAAGATACTGTGCATCGCAGGAAGGATTTCTCGAAATCGAGATATCGGCTTCGGAAGGTCCTGAAGGAAGGCGGTTTGTCGTCGTACAAGGGGTGTCCCGAAGGGGTAGGGTTCGCACCGCGGCCGCCCGCCCGGGCCAGGATGCGGCCTCAAGTATCCGTACGGACAGCGGATGCAATCCTTGTTTGTGCATGGCACTTTGTCCGTAGGTAGCGTGGGAAGGTAGGTACCTATGCTGCAGAAGGATTCGAGGCAAACGATCTTTATGCAAGCACGCAAACAAGATGGAGGGATAGCTAGACACGAGTTAACCTAGCAGCACCAATCGACAGCTTCTCACTGTGATGGGAAGCGATATATTGATGTGCAATTGCGGCGGGAACCGCAAAGCACCAGATCCTACCGGGCAGAATCGATGCTTGGCCATCTTCTTCGAGGGTTGTCCGTACTCGCGTGATCCTTGGCTTCAGCCATGCTAGGGTGCCGGGGTGAGGGGTCGCGGGTCGCGGATGCGGACGGAGCGGCAGGCAGCTGCTGTGAGCTTCTTTTTGATCCTGCGACCGCGATATCCGGCTCATCGTGACATACCTCGAGGTAGGGAGACGTACCAGGGGGCGGGAGGTCGCTTGTTTGACGGCCGCCGTGCTATGGGACCATTGTCAAGCGCGGAAGACTGCGCCGTACTCGAAAACTTGGAAATGATGCATATCTAGGACTCTTTCCACGCGCGGCCTGCCTTGCCTTGGTTGAAGGATTCCTATTTTGGGGGCTACAGAATTGCCCAGATCTTGACGTGCCGCCGCCGGTGACCGGTGAAAGAAGTAGAGTGGGTGACTTCGCCAAAGAGAGGCAAAGGGAATCCCATGTTGGGTGGAATACTGATCCGTGATTTGAGGAGGATGATGCGAACCAGCCGACTAGGCGGTACGAAGGAATGGAAGGAACAAAAAAGCGCCAGGCGGATATGCATGGGCGTCCGCGGCTTTCGAGGTCCTGTGCCCGGCCGGCCGGGGGGCGGGCCTCGGTGTGCCAAAATGGGGGATCCGAGTCTCGGAAGGAGTTGTCGAAAGGGTGACATGACACCCATGCCTCCATTCTATGCAGGCACTTCTGGGTTTTGTAGGTCACTGTCCAATGCTCGTTAGGTATGCAAGATACCACTTTGTGCTTGGGTAGGCTTGCTGACCTTTGGAGACACACAGTTCCGGTGCGGGAAGCATGGCACTTCTGTCTCACTTCCTCGACGCCGTCCAGTACGAGTAGCAACCTTAGCCAGAGGCTGATATTCGCGGAACTTTTGAAGGTGAAAGCTGGGCTGGGCTGGGTTGCTGATGTTGGAGACGCAAGGGACTTCTAATTCCAGCGAGCCGGGGATGCGTGCAAGTAATCGATCTTGAGCTTGGTGGGGTGCTGGATCTTGGATTACTGGGTTGCTCACATCGCGGCTATCCTTATTGATAGCCGTTGTCGCCCGGGGCCTGGTTCCTGAAGATGATACCTCGAAAAGGCGAGATGATACCAGAAACTTCTCACTGCAGTCCGGTTGGCGAGATTGGTTGGACCAGTGAATGAGGTGCCTGTCGGTCGTTGCCTGGAAAAGCGTGTGCCACAGAACGAAGGCTTGGGTTTGTCGCTGGCAATAAGCAGCTGGGGAGTTACACCGGCTGGGTGGGACGGCCATGCGCCCCCTGGGCCACTGGGCTTGGTCTCGGTTGCTGGTTTGAACTGGGGGACCGTCCTCAGCTCTTTGCGATGGAAGAATGCGCAGAAATGGCGGCGAGGGGGCGTATGGTTCTTCGAGATTTAGGGTAGTGATGTGAGATGTGAGATGTGGCTGCGTGACGAGGCTGGTGATGGGCGTGGGCGAGTGAGATTGAGGCTCAGTTCCTCATACGATGTTATCCGTCGTAGCTAGCCCTGTCGGCTGTTGGAGGATCTCTTGGATGCGCAGGTGTACGATCAGAGCAGGGGGGGCTTGGGAGGCGCAATCACTCTATAGATGGAGAACGATCTGAACTTGACGGGAGCGCCACAGACAGTGGCGGATGCGGAGCGGAGGAGTCGGCAAGGTCTGCCGTCCTCTCGCGGGGACAGTGGCGATAGGATTCGGTAGGATTTTGGGGGCGTTCGGGGACTTGGGGTCTAGAACCAGTTGATGATGGTGATCGAGGAAGACGGGGTTTGCTGTGGGATGAGGTCATTGGGCTGTCTGTAGTGAAAGAGTTAGGACTGTGAAGTTGCAGTTGGAGAGACAGTTGGATGGCGATGCTTGTCTTGCGGTGGTTGAAAGATGGGTCATGGCATCTTGCCTGAGTTATTTCCTAGGTAAGGTACCTTAATCTGTGATAATCGCCGATGGAAACCTAGAAGGTGCTATGGAAAGACGGGAAGGGACGTGAAGGTGCCTGCCTGCCTTTCATCGTTAAACTTAGATACTTAGCCCAGGCAAGACTTACCTTAGGTACCTAGGTACCTTACCTAGGTCGTTAAGGTATCGATGGAAAGATCTACCTGCCCAGGCGATGCTTCCCCGGGAGATGGGATCAAAGAGCAGGCCCGGATCACTGTCGAAGCGGAACTTACAGTGGCAAAGAGCACTGGAAGGCGCTGAACCCATCCATTCTTTCCCCATGAGAGCCCCCCCGGCGGTAAAATCCGGTGGCTCGCTCCTTCCACGGGCCACAGCGGGACCCGTTACGGAGGACATCCGGTCGCGTTCGCGTCGCGCCCTGAGTTCCGCCCCTCGTCCCGCAACCTCACTTTCCAACCTCGGAGATGCTAAACCTCCACCTCGGCGACACCACCACCGCACCGTCGACCCCGTCCGCCTCAATCTGAGCTGTCAACCGCTCTTTTCTTTTTCATTAAGACTTCAATATCCTTCGAAAAGAAAAGGCCAGCTGCGAAAAGAGACGAGATGCCCACTCTCTCTTGTGATCTGCATTAGCTGGCCTATCCCCCGATTCATTGTCTCCTCAGAAGAGCGTTTGCTTCATAAAGTTTGCTTCCTCCCCAGTGAGTGCCAGATATCACCAGAGCCACGTGACCTCAAACCCACGACAACCTCGCCCCTTTTTGCAAAGCGGCAGACGCAAGATCTTGCTAGATCTTCTTGCCTCATTCAACAGAAGCAAAAACGATCCAAGTGTACAAAACTGACCAGCCGTCTTAATGGATCCCTTCGCGCAGACCACAGTCTTTTACATCCACGTCATCAAAAAGGCATGGCGCCGCCTGGACAGCTCCCTCGCGTCCGCTCGGCGGAGGCGTCAATCGAGAAGGGCCGCGCAGCCTACGCGGAGCAGCGCTTCCGCGTCGCACTCGAGCACTTCACCCTCGTCGCCGGGAATTGCCCATGTTCGTCACCCTCGGGAGGAGGGCCCACCTCCTCAAGTGCAGGCTCAGGAAGTAGTTCCGGTGGTCGTACTTCTCGAGGTGTCAAAGGGCTCGGGGCCGCAGGTTCTGGAGGTGGTGGAGGTGCAGGTCTTGACGGCGGAGACGCCAGCGGGAACGGCCACAGCCCCGCGCAGCAGCGCCGCCGGCGGGAAAGGTGTACGTGCCGCGACTTTGCTCAGGCGGCGGCCCGGCACCGCCGCGAAAGGGGCAGCGTCTACGCGGAGGCCACTAAAGAGTGCAAGTGTGGCGCCGAGAAAACGTGGGGCCGGTGCCACCGCGAGGGCCACATCCAGGCGCTCGACTACCGGGCTGCGTGCTTTGAGAAGATGGGAAAGTTGGATATGGCGCGCAGGGATGCGGAGTGGCTGTTAGAGATTGCGCCGCGGCGGTTGGAGGTGAGTCTTGGCCCTCTTACTTGTTTTCGGACTTGGCTGTGCGTGCTGTCGCTGCTCGACCACTTTGCGTGCTTGTCTTACTCTTGTGCTGGGTTTCATATGGATAACATATCTGCAGGGGTACATGAGGCTGGGGAAGATATACAAGTTGGAGAAGAAGCACGAGATGGCATGGGCTGCGTGGAGTGCCGGTATCGAGGTTGGACGAAATGAAGGCCTCACTAGAACGACTAAATTTGAAGTATGCGGCATCTACTTGAACTGATGTCTCTGAACTGTTCGCTAACCTGGACGCTTGCAGCAACTTTGCAGGATTCGCGAACCATTACACAAACACTTTTATCGGAGAGACCCTATGGATTTACCAATCGAGTTGATTGAAAAAGTATTTTCCTACTTTGATTTACACGAGTTATGGTGAGCTCAAGCAGGCCGGTCCATTTCCTTTGACCGGCGCTCCTTCTCCTGACTCAATTGCTGACATGGAACGCCAGCCGAATATCGGGAGTCTGTAAACGATGGGACCAGTTCCTTGACACCCACCCCTATATCTGGAGACAAGTCCATTTCCCTTCACTAAACCCGCAAAAGCCACCAAGAGTCTCCTTCCTCAAGACGTTACGGAAGCGGACCGGCGGTGGCGCCCGCAGTCTCGTCATACCCAACGCGCATGCCTTCCAACTCAACGAGTCAAAGTGGCTATCGCTCATCCAGACCACGAACCCACGCATGACGACGCGCCTCGAGATCGGCGCTATCAAGCGTAACCTCGAGGGCGGCGACTGGGGCTACAAACTGCCTCCTAAGCCGCTCTTCTTCGAAGGGCTCACGCACCTCGGCTTCAGCTTTCGCGTCGACAAGCCGAATTATCAAAGCAGCGGGGGCGCCCAGCCCTTTGTGAGGCAGTTTGTCGAACGTGCTCGAGAGAACATTGAGAGGATATCCCTCTTCAGCATGCACCTCAACGACCTGGGCTGGCCGGAGCTGCCCCGACTCAAGATCCTTCAGTTGACCGGCCCGCTGACTTCGACATTGAATCAGCTAACCCCTGAACGCCGAATTGACCCGGTAAGTTGTGCCTCCTCTTCCATCTAATTCTCTTATCGTTTGGCTTCTGCAGAGTTGATACCATATTTGCTAACGAGCACCCGTAGTTCGCCCTCGCCCGCTCAACGCCAAACCTAGAACAAATACACATGGACAACTTTGGCGTATTCACCGGCCTAGACTCCCTCGCTCCGCCAGAAGACTGCTGGTCCCTCTGGCCGGGCCTCCAGGTAATTAAGCTCGGCAAGGCGTGCGGCGCCCTCTCCATGGGCGACAAGCGCCACTTCCCGCCGCTGCACCCGTCCTCCTTCCGCGTTCTTGACGCCCGCGCCGCGCTCCAGTCCAACCACGGCGACTGGCTGCCCCAGCAGCTACCCCTCGACTACTCGGGCTACGAGGCAGCCGAGTCCCTCGTCACCTACCCCAACCTCGAGCGCTTCTGGATGCCAAAATTGCCCCTGAGCGTCGACCTCGCCACCGTCCTCCTCGAGCCCGCCGTCCGCTCAGGCAGGCTACGCGAGCTCGGCCTCTGCTGGCGCCAGGAACCGGGCCAGTTCTTCCCCGGCGCCCTCGACTGGCTCCGTGGCAGCATCTCGGTCCGCACGTTCGGCTTCTTCAATTTTGATTTCGAGTCCCACGAGAACCTGACGCGCGATCCGGCGCAGAGAGGCCGCGGCATCGACTCGGTCGATCTCCTCTTTGGTTTCCTCCAGTCGTTCCCCAACCTCGAGGTTCTCGAGCTGCACTCGGACCTGTGCGATCCGATGCGCCTCGGCGCCGTCATCGAGCGCGTCGCGATCCTGGGCAGGCTGAAGAAGGTGTACCAGCGCGCGCTGACGGGTGTGGCGATGGATCAGCTGAGGACCTTTTGCGGCGCTCATGGGGTCGAGGTTGTGTATGGCAGCTGGGAAGCTGAGTTTCCCGTGCCGTTGGAATCCTTGGCTCCCGTAGAGGCTGAGATTGGTGAGTGAAAGTGGGAAACTGGCTTAGTAGTCTCGCAATGGGCCAAGAACTCGACACATTGCTCTTTGTTCTCTTTTGTGACCATTCTGGTTAAATTACGTAGGTCTCATAGCATTTGGCGTAACTGCTTGGATACATGTATTTGACACTTGCTGCCCGTAACACCGAAAAGGGGCATTCTCTACATCGTTTTCTCCTTGACGAATACGAACAGTTTCCATGGCATGAATTCACACGTAGGGTATCATGACGCACAGCATGAACAGACCAGAAAGAAGTCAACAAGCAAAGAAAAGGTGGATTAGTTTTGCTAATTCGAAAGCTCCTCGCTATTGAATTGATGCGGGAAACTTGGTGGTGTCTGACTGACAATGAGTAAGGTATGACAATGGCCAAAACAAAGTATCACGGATATATAAAATGGTCAAAACGGAACAAAACAAGACGAATTCATCATCTCCCACTCCTGCCTACCCCGGGCTTCTTTTCCCGCCTTGAACCGCCAGCCTCTTCATATATATGAGGCTGCTACAGGCGGCTCCTTCGTTCGCCCCCATTTTTCTCAAAACGCCGTTGGATATCTCCCCTTTCCCTTGAAAAAGACAGACTGATGTTTCCTCCCAATAAAAGTATAGGAGAGTTATTGGGGTAGTGATATTATAAAGTGATTGTAATTTGCGGAAGAGGGAGGGGACACCTCCTCTTCGCTTCTAGTGATTCTTTGCAAAGTTTGAATGAATGTGATTGACAGCAACGAGCATCTCACGACCGAGCAGGCGACGGCGGGACGGCAACGTTACCCGAGATGAGACTCTCCATCTCCCACGGGCTAAGCGTGCTCCGCCTCCTCGAGGCGACTTTGCTCACGCGCCTGTCGCGCTTACGCTTCGTCGGTTGGAGCGGCGATTGCTGGACCTGCTCGTCTTGCGAGATGTCGCGCTTGACGGGGTCGAGGTCTCCTCGGTCTGCGCGTGTCTTTGCCGGGGAGTCTACGGGCGGCTGAGTCTCTTGCGGCATGGCGACGATGGTTTCTGGTGGAGGGGGAGGCATACGCTGCTGCTGCTGGGGTGCGGCCGCAGGTTTGCCGAGCGCACCTCCGCGCGCTGCCTTGAGTTTCGCGCGGACGCGGGCGGCGTCGGCTTCACGCTCTGAGGCTGCCAGTTTAGCTGCGATGGTTGCCATCGTCAGAGGGCTCTGCTGTGGTGGCGGGTCTGAGGGCCGCGGGAGGGGCAAACGGGAGGGGACGCGGCGGAGAGGGGTGCGGTGCGGCGTTGCGTTCTTATTATTGCTGGTGCTGTTGGGCTGGACGGCGGGGGCCGGGGGGTCACCCTCGCAGCTCTCCTGGCTCGACTGGCTTTCTTGGCTCTCCTGGGAGACTGTACGGATGTTCTTGACAGGGGATTGGGTTTCCCTCGGTGCCGGAACCGCTGGTGAAGGTGCTGCTGCGGTTGCTGCTGAGACGAGACGCGGCGGCTTGGGGAGTTTCCGCGCCGTCGGCGTTTGGTTTACTTCGGGGGGCGGGGTTCCGGATGGTGTGATGAGGGGTGCGCCGTTGTGTGTTGATTCGGAGGCGATCGAGGCAGCAGATGTTATGCGAGAGCGGTCGTCGACCGGGTGCATTGTCTTCTGCGGCGACCGCGGAAGTTGAACGAGGTGTGGTGGTGGTTTCGGGGCAACGTCGACGGCGCGGATCGTCCTGGGCTTCTCGATGACCATCGTGTCGTAGTCTCCGCGAACATCGCGCCTTGGTCTCGCGTCGCGGTTACCCGCAGAGGGCATCTCGCGGAGTGGGCTCATCTGGGGAGGTGGGGGAAGAGGAGGGGAGCTAAGGTAGGCGGTGGATTGCTGAAGAATCTGGACGTTGGGCTCCTCAATATCGAGTTCCTCAACGTCGACATCCTCGAAGATGCTCGACTCATAGTCGCTAGGCTGATCGCCATGGTTGTACTCTTCTTCGCGAGGAGGTGCATCGTACTCTGCCGGTGCGGGAACAAGATGGAGCGACTCGACCCTTTGCGGAGCAGGGCAAGGAGACTCGGGCAAATCGTCATAATCAATTTCCTCTTCCTCCTCCTCCTCTTCCTCTTCCTCTCCTTCCTCTTCCAGGTCGGCGGTGCACTCCTCCTGCACACAAGACAGCTCATGCATGTCCATGCCGCCCTGGTGGGTCTCCTCAACATTGCGAACGCGCACAGGACTAAGACGGAGGCCCATCTTGAGCTCTTCCATGTTCACCGACTTGCCATCGGCCACCATGCGCCGGCGCCAACCGTCGATGAGATGGACGGCTTCCTGCCAGCGGTTCTCCATCTTCACCCAGCCCGCACGCAGACGAGCAATCTCCTCTTCACGGACCTCGACCTCCTCAATAGGGGCGAACGAGGGGTTCGTCAAGATGGAGCGCAGGTGCTCGAGAATGGCGTCAAGCTCGTTTGCCATGTCCTCAGCCGTGGGCAGTGTGACAGCATGACCATCACCCTGGCTTGATCTAGCATCACAGCCACTCATCTCGCGCAAGCTCTTGGTCGTTCGACGGACAAGGTTCAGGAGAGACTCGTTCTCTTCACTGAGGTTTCGCGCAAGGTTCGTCAGGAACTCGTTCGTCTCGGTGCGCAGATCGTAACTGGAGTCCTCTGTGGCCGCAGCGGCCTTGCCTCCGCGCTTGGGCGATATCTTGTCCTCGCCCTCCCCAGCGACGACGCTGATAACGGTGACGGCGGAGCTCTTGGCGGTACCGCGGGGACGGCCAGCTTCGCCCAATTGCTTCTTGAGGCCGTCTATCTGGCGGTCGCGGCGTCGGACCTCCGTTGCACAGGAGGCCCTCGTCTGGGCGACCAGAGTCTTGGCGCGAGCGACCTCGTCCTTGAGGCCGCGGACAGCCACGTCGGCAGACTTGAGCTGGGTGCGCAAGGTGTTTTCGGTGGCCTCGCTGATATCGAGCTTTCTTTGAGCCTCGGTGTGCTTCTCCGAGAGGCGTGCGATGTCGTTTGTGTACCGTAGGTTCTCGGCGCGGACGGTGCGCATGGTGGTCGACAGGTTCTCGCGTTGTTCGGCGTCGCGCTTCAGGAGGGAAACATAACATCTCAGTACAGGGTATTCTTCCTCTTCATCTTTCCAAAATCTATACATCAGGGGAATAAGGGCAAACGCACGTCTCGGCGCAAGATCAAATCATTGACAATGCTCATGATCTTGCCCATAGTGGCCTCCGCGCCGCCCGGATAGTCGTCCGGGTCGGCAAAGTTGATTGTTTGGCCATCGCGTAGGAGTCCTCGCGAGAGCAATTGGTTGTTTATATACAGCGACGCCGTACGCAAGTTGTCGTTTTCCGCCATCGTGGTGGACGCGTTGTCACGGCGAGACGATCGCACTACGAGCAGTGCTTGTTGAAGAGTATCTCTCTTGGTCAGCACATGCGGTGGAATGTGTTTCTTGAGCGGCTCATAAAGCTTGTGACTGAAGATCGAAAGAAGAGTAGAAAGTGTGTCATCAAAAGGAAATGAGCTATGGCGTTGGTGTGTATTCGTAGTGCCCGGTTCGGAGCTTATGCAGGAGAGCGACGGATCAGTACCCTTTTCTGCGTGGTCTTGCAAGGGCGAGTTCTGCTGGATGGAACTTGCTGTGGTGTGCTGTGTTGCACTTCGCTGTGTTAGTATTTTGCGAGGTGGGGGTGACATGGCAACCACCTCGCAAAGTAAACAAAAAATTGGCCAACTCACAACGTCACATGGGCCCGTGGCCTAAAAGTGGCCGCTCCTGGCCCGACCCTGCGGGGCTAGCCGACACTTGCCTAGCGCCATTCTTATAATTCATGCGATATCTGCCCGAGTCACATCTCACAGCTTTCCATCACACTCAAAAGTTTCATTATATTGCTTCTTCTTCAGCCTGCAGCCTGGGAAACAACTTTGTTTTCTCCCGCCATATCGACATGGCTTATGATCCCACGGCACTTGGGCAGTCGGCAGAGTCCCTCGTACACGATGTCTCCGGCGAGATATGGCATCCCTTGTTCCAGCAAGAGTGCGCCTTTGGGCCCGAAATCTTTGAGGATGTCATGATGAATCTCATCAAGAACCCAAACATCAACTCGTCATGGCTCTTCCGCGCTGATATTCTACACGATTCGGACCCGGGATGGACACCTCCCCCTGCCCCCGCACCTGAAGCTGCCTCGGAAGATGGCGCCGCCGCACAAGTTGTGCAGCAGCAGCAGCAGGAGCCTCTTCCCATTGCTTTTCAGGATTTCCACAACGACCGCGTCTTCGTGCGCAGGCTGATCCCGCGCAACACCCGCCGGGACGACCCCCTGGACCAGACGTGCGTCTTCGCCTCCTGTACCCCAGATGCCACAAAGGCCAGGTCCCTGGTCGTCTACCTCCCCCACGCGTCCTCGCCCGACGCCCTCCCCTTCTACCACCCCAAGGTCCGGGGCGTAGCGCACCTCCACGAGTGGGACGCTGCGCGCGCCGTCGGCACCGTCTCTATCCACTACCTCTTCTTTAACGAGGCCGACTTCGCCGTTGAGAAGCTGGTCCGAACCGCTCGCATGCTGCTCTCCGTGCTGTACAAGCACGGCCAGGGGCGGATCGATGGGTACACCAAGCGGGTGCACCACGACGTTGTTATTCCCCAGGCAAGGTTCCAGGACCGCTACATGGAGCTCAAGCTCAAGTATGCCAAGGACCTGGTGGAAACCTGGGCCGAGACGACGGACCCGTCGAAGCACGTCTTTGAGGACTTGGGCATTGCTGCTTTCCTGATTGAGCTTTGGAAGGAAATGTACAAAGACCAGCCCTTCCCTGGATTTGTAGATATTGGCTGCGGAAACGGATTGCTAGTTCATCTGTTGACCCAAGAGGGTTACTCTGGCTGGGGGTTTGATGCCAGAGCCAGGAAGTCATGGGCCAAGTACAATTCTGTCCAAAATGGGCGGGCTTCGCTCCAAGCTCTGGTCCTTCTCCCCGACGTTGTCTCCAGGCCGTCTTACGCCGACAGCGAGGAGGAGCCTGCCTTGGATCTGACAAAGATACACAACGGCACTTTCCCCAAAGGCACCTTCATCGTGTCCAATCACGCAGATGAACTTACGCCTTGGACGCCGATCCTGGCGACGCTGTCAGAGAGTCCCTTCATCATGATTCCTTGCTGCAGCCATTCACTGGGCGGTCAAAAATACCGCCCGCCGCCGCCGCGTGATAAGACAAAGTCGATATCGACGTATGCTTCCTTGGTCGACTGGGCGGCACAGATCGCCGAGGACTGCGGATGGGTCGTGGAGACGGAGATGTTACGTATCCCGAGCACGCGAAACACGGCCATGCTCGGGAGGAAGCGGACCAGGGACGTGGAGGAAGTAGATATCGACGGGGTCTTGGCCAAGTACGGCGGCACCGATGGCTACTTTGAGAGTGCAGCCAAGTTAACCAAGACTGAAAAGGGGCATTAGGCAGAGCGCCGTTACATGTTTTGGTTCACGAACACGAGATAGACATCTAGGTGCTATCTACATTACGAATCATATGAAGAGAAGGGGGAGTCCAAAAGTACAACATTACAAATCGAACTCGATTCTTTGCTGGCACTGATGTTCGACGCGACTCGATGCAAAATCGATATCTAGATAATCTACATTTATGCTACACCTCAGATGAATGCAAGCATGTCATGGTGTGGTGTGAAATACCATGATGATGGATCTTCTTGCACTCCAAAGGAGCATCAAAATCGATGATGTTGGTGATAGAATGGCTGGCACCTTACCCGAGACTTCCATCCAGACCTTTGATTCCTTTCAAATCGACCCAGCCAATTCCTGAATCCTCTTCCTCGCAGCTTCCCTCACCTCAGTAACAACCACCCCAGCCGGCTTAATCTCATCAATAAGCCCAAGCCCAGCACCCGCCCACTTCCCAATCATCTTCTTCCCTTCCTCCTCGCTCCACCCCGTCCGCAATCTCTCCCGGCTCTCCTCCACCGTCGCCGTCTGGCCGCCGAGGGCGTGATACTCTCGATGAATATCTCCCACAATCGCCCTCCCATCATACCCATCCTTCCACAACTTATTATCCACCAGCCGATCATGAAACTCCGACTTCCACGTACTCAACCCGCCGTCCTTGGTCCTCACAATAACCTCCTTATGCAACTGCGCGCTCATCGCCTCGTCCGTCGCAACGAACCGCGTGCCCAACACAACCCCCTCGGCCCCGAGCGCCAGCGCCGCAGCCACCCCGCTGCCCTCCACGATCCCGCCCGCCGCGACGACGGCGACGTCCCGGTCGGGGAACTCGGACGCCAGCATGGCCTTCACCTCGGGCACCAGCGCCACGACGCCGCAGCCCCGCGAGAACTGGTGCCCGCCCGCGTCGACCCCCTGCGCGACGATGACGTCCGCGCCGTCGGCGGCCGCCTCCCGCGCCGCGGCGACGTTGCCGACCTGCACGAAGACTTTCGTTCCCTTGCCGCGGAGGGCGGCGATGATCTCGCCGTGTGGTTTGGTTTCTGGGTGCGGGGCGAAGAGCCAGGCTGCCGCGACGCCGTGGCGGACGAGGATGGGCAGGACGTTGGCTGTGAAGTGGCCGGCTGTCTCGTGGGACGTGATGAAGCCCACGCCTAGCGGGAGCCCTTCCGCGCCGCTACCGCTGCTACTACTGCCGTCAGCGGCCGGGAGCGAGAGGAGGGTGCGGGCTTGGGTTAGGGCCTTGTCTAGGTCCGTCATCTGGGCCGAGGACTCTGAGAAGTCGAAGCCTGCGGCGATGAAACCTGGAAAGAGAGGCGATTTGTCAGTCTGATGTTTTTTTCAATAAGAATCCAAGAGAGACATTTTCGGCTCGGATAAGGGAGGGTGAATTCGCCCTTACCGAAACCACCGGCTTTGTGGACTTCAGTTGCCATGGCGGCGCCGGCGGACCCCAGCATCGGCGCATTGATGATGACGGGCGCCTTGACGTGGGGGAACCACGATACCAATCTCGAGATGGCCATGTTTGGTGTTGTTTTGTTTCTTTAATTCTTGCTTTTTTGCTCCCTTTTCGTGTTCCTTTTTGGTTCTAAGTGAGGGGTGTTGTTGACTTTTTCTCGGGACTTTGTGAGACAGCACTATTGGAGAACCTTCTGACTGTGACGATCGGGCGGGGTCAGCTTGGTGTCTTATACATGGAATCTCGGAAGTAAGAAAAACAAGATGTTCTGAGTGAGATCTTGGTGCATATGTGAGACATGAAAAAGGCATTGGCCTATTTACTACGGCTGACATAGATTGCCGGATCCTCGGAGGGGTTCGTCGTCATCCCTCCTTCTCAGCGGCTCTCCTCGGTTCTCCAATTGTGGGAACCGTGCAAACATCTCCGCGGAGGAAAGCGGGGCCGGACGGCCGTGTGTTACCCCGGGGTGCGTACCTTATGCTCGGCCCGTTGCTTGGCATGTGCGCCGGAGGACACTAATTTTGGAGATAAGGTGGGATGTTATTCACCTCTTGTCAGGAAAGGAAAGGGCTTTTACTGAATAATCCGTATTGCCAAGTATGTAGAAGCTCACGAAGAATAAAGAAGGGTACAGGTACATTCAAAAAAGTAGAGATAGCCTTTAACGTGGTGATGGCCTCAAAAGAATTTGGCTGACATTTAGGAATCCTCCTTAAATAAATTAGCATCAGGTTGATGCGCATTTTCCACTACAGAACTTATGGTTTGGAGTCAAGCCCCGTTCTCCATCGGTATGAAGTATTCTAGCTTCAAGTAGGAGGAAGAAGAAGAAGGCATTCATATGGTGATCAGGAAGTTCGTGCTGCGCTGAGTCCTAGTTCACTTACCTGACTCGTTCATCTCGCACCTAATATCACCCTCAAACTTGGAGAATCGGCCATACAAGGCATCACGATACTCGAAATACAAGTTCCGTATCGATTTAAACAGTTTTGCCAGTCCTTTTTAGGAAAGCCGCGATCATTAGCAAGGATGGAAATCAGTGAGGGAAAAAGACGAGTCTCTGAAGGCGCGAAAGGGAAAACTGACAAAAGGGAGATAACTGGCAAAATGGTAGAATGTAGTACTACACCGAGACGTTGGTCGCGGTAGGGTTGGATAATTTCAGTTTGCGATCTCTGGACGGAGACGTTGCACGCTAGACCACTTGGCCAGAGTGCAGTGGCTCGCCCACCCCGACAGACTCATCAACTTTGCTCAGCTATAGAGGATGTGTAGATTCACCTCTTTGAGCAATCCTGATGTCTTCGTCGTATTTGCCGTACGCTCTTTCAACAGTGACCATATGTGGAGTTGACATTTGTGTATTATTCGATTGGTATTTCGTATATGTACGTGCTATAGTCGAGGCCGTGTGTACCTCGAAGTTTTCATTTCATGTTCTCGTACATCATATTCGGCCACTCTAGAATCTCGGAATGATGGCATCAGGCTTGTTCTCCAGCGCCTCATCAATCTCCTTCATAATCTCATCCGTCAACTTCTCTTGCGCGCCGATAGCCCGGATGTTCTCAAACACCTGTTCGGGGCTGCTCGCGCCAATGATGGCAGAGCTGACGTTCTTGTTCTTCAGAACCCAGGCAAGCGCCAGGGTGGCCATCTTGATTCCCAGCTTCTCGGCAATGGGCTCGATCTTGTTGGCCTTATCGACGAGATCCTGGAATTGCTTCTTGGCGTTCTCTCTCTTCCAGAAGTCCTTGATGAATCCAATGTTCTCGGAGCCGAAGCGGGAGTCCTCGGGGATGCCGTTCTTGTACTTTCCGGAAAGGATGCCCTGACGCAGGGGAGAGAAGACGGTCAGACCGGTGCCGACTTCGCGGTAGAGGTGGAAGAACTCGTGCTCGACCTTCTTGCGGTCAAGCATGCTGTACGAGGGCTGCTCCATGATGGGACCGACAAGGTTCAGCTTGTCGGCGTAGCGCCAGGCCTGGGCGATCTCGTCGGCGCTCCATTCGGATGTTCCCCAGTAGAGGGCCTTGCCGGTGTTGATCAGGTGGTTGAAGGCGCGGACGGTCTCCTCCATGGGTGTTTGGCGATCGGGACTAAGTAAAGTCAGTGGTATTCGTAAACGTGTCGAGAGGTAGACTTACCGGTGAGCGTAGACGAGGTCAACATATTTCAGATCGAGACGCTCAAGGCACGCGTCCATGGCCTCGATAACGTGCTTGCGAGACAGACCCTTGTTGTTGACAACGTTGTCGCCAAAGGCGCCACCCCAGTAAATCTGTTGCACATTCAATTGTCAGTCTCGTTCCCGTTTCGGCAGGCCTTTGTGGATTTGCGCACCTTGGTAGAGATGACGAGGTCGTTGCGCTTCCAGCCGTACTTCTTGATGGCCTGACCCATAACTATCATAAAATCAGTGCTCCTTCTCTTGCCGGGGGTTACTGTCGACTGCTCATACCAATTTCGCTCTCGCCGTTGGCGTAGCCCTCAGCCGTATCGAAGAAGTTAACGCCAGAGTCGTAGGCAGCCTTCATGCACTTGAAAGTGCCCTCTACGTAGTTTGTCAGTCTCGTTTGAATTCTGTGACTCGAGGTCTGTTCGTACCGGAGTCGACATGGCCGCCGTAGGTCAACCCTGGTGGAGAGTCAGTGTCTGTCACAGTCTTCCGGAACACAATCAGGGTTACTCACAGCCTCCCAAGCTGATGGCACTAACCTGAAGACCAGAACGGCCCAAGAAGCGGTACTCCATAGGGGGAAGATCTTCGGGCTTGGACATTTTGTCGGTGATTCGAGATTCGTTGGAGAGAAAGGTAGTGGGAGGTCGCGAAGCAAAGTGGAGGCGAGTACAAGCCGGCAAGTCATGCGAAGAGCGGCAAGCACCTTACTTATAGTCCCCTCGTTCGACCAGCTCGTGTTCAAAAAAGAAGGTCCATCGGAGCTCCATGCCCATGGCCCATGTCGAAAGGCCACCGTGGGGCCCAACCTATTCCTCTCATGGTTACGGATACTGCAGCAGCCGTTGAATCGCCCATCTCCAATGGTCAAGCTCATGGAAGCGGGGCAGCCGGTATCAACCCCGCCATCCAAGTCCATGACCCGCGAGTTGTGTCACCGGCGAGCCATGTAGCCAATGGTCCCATCCCACGCTGAGCTGTTGGCGGGGGTACCGGTCCGGTACAGACACAGCTGTCGTGGTTTCACGCTGCCTGATCCTGGAGCTATGACGGGCGGGATTGAGCTATCCCGAGCCTGTTGCTCGATAAGCAGAGACGCTAGCGAGGAAGTGAATTGATTTGTTTGCTCGGTTAAGAAGTGACCAATTGTGACCACGTGCCATAGAGAAACCTCAGAGGCAATCAGAAAGAAGTAAAAAAGACATCGGGGTACAGTAAGATAGACGAGAAATTTGAACGTCACCCGTGTCGAGGAATTGGAAGCGAAGCTGCGGGTGCTGTGCGCTAAATTACCCCTCCAGCTGCCCCTCCAACACAACCTTACACCATTGCCCCTGCTGTAATGCGGGTCCTCCAGGGATGTTTCATATTCTCGCTGCTCCGATTGCCCCGAATTTGCGAGGACATGGCCAGCTTACTAATTCTTCAACGACGCTCCTCCCATCAAGGTGTCATGAAGCTATCTTTTGTTGCACTCGGCATCTTGTGGTAAGCCTTAAGGTAGTTCGGAACACTACTGCCGTTTTAAATCCATACAGTGGCATCGAGTGATGCCTCGCGCATATTTGGCCGGTGGTCTCAGTCCGCAGCTCAACCAACACGCTCGACCTTAGGTTGTTTTCTAGATCGAGCCGCATCAAACATTTACGACGTAGCGCAAATCATAAACATGACCTCCCTGCAGTTTCTACGACTGTGTAATATGCGTGGTAAAGTCCAGTAAGCTATCAGCCCACTCTATAATCTAGAAAAAGTTCCAATGGTGAATCCGTGATTATGGTAGCCCATACCAGGCGACGATCAGCTAGTCGCAAGCCAGGCCACTATCCTTTCACAACGAGACAGCTTAACACTCATTTTAGGCTGTAATATTTCAAGTCTCTCGTAGAATACCACGGGTCACCTTGCAGAACTTTGGTCTTCTCATTACATAAAAGAGAGCCTGACTCGGCTAGCACGAGGCAACGTACAGGTAAGGCAGCGATAATAGTACGGTCGATATTTAGACGGTGATTAGCGCATGGTTCAGGTCATTGGTTCGACCGAACTGTAAAGCATGTAATTTTCAGGTACGCTGTCCACGCTTTGCTGAAGCCAAGCTACTCGTTCGAATCCAAACTTCTACTCAAGAATGGTTTTCTCGGCTTCATACTGACATTTACATAATCTAAACTTGACGGGGCATAGTATCTTCGCATTGAGGGTGAATACCATAGAAACATAGCTCCCAAGCTTGATTGAAAGGGGTCGAAGTCTTCAAAAAAGTTGACATGGACTATGGTGCCTGGACTTTTCTCAAAGAGCTCCTCACTTGCTGTTCAAGGATGACTTCACAATATGGTCGAAAGAATCCTTTTGATTGAAATGGGCCTTGACCTTTCCCGGCTCCTTTCAAATGGGTTAGCGTGCTACAAGCCAGGTGATACCTCATGCTCAGGCCGGAGTAGTGGCCAGTCTATTGTGCGGGTACCTTCAAGTGAGTTCAACTCGGCTACAGGCATTCACGACTCCAAGAAACCCACATCGTGAGAGTACAGGAGCGGTGGTCTCGACGACATAAGCGGAAAATGGGCTTCCACTCCATGAGCTAAAGTGAATCTTCTCCCACAAAACTGTCCCTTTCCTCTTCTTCTTCTTTTTGCTTTTCACCACCTCACCACCAAAGCCGGCTTCCCTCAACTACGATCAGCTTTCAGCACCACTTCGTTTCCGACTTACAGTACGCACCAAGATCAAGATCCATCGCTGAGATACACATCGTAAGTCAAGCTCCATCTGTTTTTGTTGTTGGATCCATCTTGGCTTTTTTTCTTTCTGTTCGAGCAAGTCTTCGCGATTTGGATCGACGGCTTCCCCGCGAGTTTCGGCTGTCCCAGCAGTTTCAGACAGCGAGGGTCTACATCGGGCAATTCTCGCGGTTTTGGACTAGGGCAATCCTGAGAATCACTTTCCCAGAAAAGGCAGCATGGTTTTTTGCGCTCCTTCTGTTCGTTGCCTAGTCCGCGCTCAGCTGTACCTTCTCTCTCCTTCCATACTGTCAAGTTTTCTCTGGAGGGTCTTTCCACTCACATCAACTCTTCCTTTTGCCTTCTGAAAAAAACCAGACTTCTGCCTCACACTGCTCTACAACCCTCTTTGTTCTCTTCTTCGTCCGCTCTCCCCGCGTTCCATTTAGGAGAGTGTCTTTTTATTGACTCTTTGGACCAGTCCAGACTCTGTCAACCCTCTTGAGAATACAAAAACCCAGCAATTCTTACTCAAGCGATTACAGCAAGATGTCTGATCCTTGGGGCACCACTGACGATGCTTGGGGCACTGGCAATGCCTCCGCTGGCAATAACATCCCTAACGATGACCCCTGGAACAACCCCAAGGGCGGTGATGGCGGTGACGGCGGCGATGGAGGCGACCGTGCCTGCTTCAATTGCGGCCAGACTGGGTAAGTTATTGCTTCATGTTTGACCGACACTCGAAGTTCCGCACACTGACACACATGATGATATAGTCACAGCAAGGCTGATTGCACCGAGCCTCGCAAGGCTTTCGATGGCACTTGCAACGCCTGCGGCGAGCAGGGCCACACTCGCCGCGACTGTCCCTCCGCTCCTGCCATGACCTGCCGCATCTGCGGCGAGGAGGGTCACATGCGCAAGGAGTGCCCCAACAAGGGTCCTGATCTTTGCCGCAACTGTCGTGAGGAGGGTATGCTGTGCACTATCCTGCAATGTCGAGACTTGTGACTAATAGGTACTTTATCAGGCCACGCAACCGTTGATTGCACGAACCGTCGCAAGATCGACTTCACGAACGTTGCGGATGTCGATGCTGACAAGGCCTGGGAGGAGATCCACGAGGCTATCCAGGAGCGCGACGGCGTTGAAGCCAAGGAGTCCATCCAGAAGTACCTCAAGCACTACCCTGAGATGGGATATGTCGACCTGGAGAATGCTTTCCGCGCCCAGGAGATGAACATCTACCTCATCGCCACCGAGCGTGTCTTGGCTCCCACCCACACCAACATGGATCTCCAGGGTAACTTGGACAAGAAGTACACTGTTCAGTATCGCTTTTCTGCGCAGCCTGACCGCCAGCGCGAGAAGGCTACTTGGCCTGCTTCCCCCGAGGAGAACCTGGCCCGCCTCGCGGATGCTGGAGAGCCCGTCTCTCGTCTCATGCAGAAGTGCAACAACTGCAACGAGCTTGGCCACACCTCCAAGGAGTGCCCTCAGGACCCCATGGAGAAGGCCCGAGTGACCATCGCCTGCTACAACTGCGGCGAAGAGGGTCATCGTGTTCGTGATTGTGAGTCCGCCTGCTTCACCCGATGGCTTGTGTCACTGACTAACTGATCTAGGCCCTACTCCTCGCATTGACAAGTTCGCTTGCAAGAACTGCGGGTAAGCAGCCAAGTCCACGGCCGCTTTTTGCGCAATTACTGACATAACCTATAGCCAGTCTGGTCACAAGGTCTCCGACTGCACCGAGCCTCGCAAGGCTGGCGATGATGTGGAGTGCAACAAGTGCCACGACAGTAAGAAGACTTCCTTCATACTGCTTCTCTCAGAGACAAAACCTAATCATATCCAGTGGGCCACTTCTCTCGCGACTGCCCTCAGGGTGGTGGCGGTGGTCGTGCTTGCCACAACTGCGGCCAGGAGGGCCACGTCTCCCGGGAGTGCCCTGAGCCTCGCAAGATCAAGTGCCGCAACTGCGACGAGGAGGGTCATCTCTCCAAGGACTGCGAGAAGCCAGTTGACAGTAAGTTGTCCAGTTGGCTTCGTTGACTTCATGATAATGACACATGTTCCTCAACAGTCACCCGCATCAAGTGCAACAACTGCGGCGAGATGGGCCACAAGAGCTACAAGTGCCCCAACCCTCCCAAGGAGGACATCGATGACTTCGGCGCCTCCAACAACGTCCTCGACAACACCGATACTGGTGATGTTTGGGGTACCGGCGGTGGCTCTACCGAGGACACTGGCGCTAGCGGTTGGTAGATGCGTCCTTAGAAACGCACCTGCACGGGGATTGGTATGGTGATTCTCTATTTGGCGTTGAGGTCACGGCATTTCGTCGCTGCCACGGCAGACGACAAGGTTTTCGATGGAACGAACGGTTGATAAATTTCGCTCTGCTTTCATGATTGATGATTGGTACTGTCTCTCGGTAGATGGAGATACATAAAATCAATGCAATGTTCATGAACACAACCTTATCGATCCTAAGTGAATTGTGAATGTTTCTATGGAAGGTCTAATGAGTCTGTTCAATCAAGCTGGTTCATATTAACCTGAGTACATTTCGGTATAGAACGCTATCATTTACTTTGCAGTCCAGGTTCACATGCAAAAACTTGACGTCCAGATGAAGATTCAATCACCGCAAGTTGAGGGACAGATGATCAGAGGATGTTACAACGACTTGTGATACTAGAAGACCAATCGATGAAGCAAGATAGTCATCGGCATTACTCGACATGAAAATGTACCCATGTCCAACAACTCTCCCTCCCTCCCTCTCTCTCCGTGTGTCT